AGATGTCCTGAGATGCTGTCTGGATATCCTTTGTTAAGCGATAAGTGTCTAAATAATTGTAGACTCGAAGGGGGAGAGACAAAGAGGACTACTCAGGGCGCCATCTTGGATCCTCCTCCTCAAGTGGAAATTTTAGAACTGAAAAATGATCAAAAGAAAAACTCATTGGATAGGCTCAGTAACAGAATGGAGATGACAGAGGAAAGAGGCAATCAGTATCAGGAATAAAGGAATAGCAAGAGAAATGGTAACTGGGTAAATATAATAGAATGTTCTCTTGAGTTCTTCAAAATGTTTAATGGTTGAAAGTAAATATTACCCTGTGTGATGGAGTTTTCGATATGTATAATATCGTAATACATAAAACAAGTACACCACAAAGAGGAAGGGTGAACAGGCTTATATGATGGGAGTTTTTGCATTCTACTTGAAGCAGTAAAATATTGACTCTAAGGAGACTGTTAAGTGTGTATGTATTAATCCTTAGAGAACCACTAAAAGACTACACAGAGATATCTTCAAATATTTAATAGATAAATTTAAAATACTAAAAAAAAAAATTTAACCTAAAAGAAGGCAGAAAAGGAGAAATAGAAAACAGAGGGAACAAAGCAGTAAACAAAGAATAAAATGGTTGAGGGGCCAGCCGGGTGGCACAGCGGTTAAGTGCGCACATTCCGCTTTGGCAGCCTGGGGTTTGCTGGTTCGGATCCCAGGTGCAGACATGGCACCGCTTGGCAAGCCATGCTGTGGTGGGCGTCCCACATAGAAAGTAGAGGAAGATGGGCACGGATGTTAGCTCAGGGCCAGTCTTCCTCAGAAAGGACAGGAGGCTTGGCAGCAGATGTTAGCTCAGGGCTAATCTTCCTCAAAAAAATAAAATAAAATATAAATAAATAAAAGAATACAACGGTTGACCTAAATCCAAATATCATGACGTTGAATGTTAATGATCTAAGCTCCCCATTTAGACAGGTTGACAAAGTGAATTTAAAAACGTGGTTCCACTGTATACTCTGTAAAAGAAACTCACTTCAAATACAACATAGGAGAATTAAAAGTAAAAGTATAGAAAAATACCATGCCAACTCAAATGAAAGCTGGAGTGGCTGTACTAACATCTGTCAAAGATTTCAATATGAAGTAAATTATCAGGGATTAAAAAGGACATGCTAAAATTATAGAAATGTCAGTTTACCAGGGAAGCATAACGATCCTAAATGTGTATGCACCTAACAACAAAACCTCAAAATACATGAATCAGAATCTGACAGGACTAAAGGAAAGGACTGAACTGAAAAGATCGTCAAAGCCACCGTTAAAGCTGGAGACTTCAGTGCTCTTCTCTTGGTAATTGATAGCAGCAGTAGACAGAAATAGCAAGGATATGGAAGAACCGACCAGCCATCCGCCAGCTGTACCTAATTGGTGTTTATAGGACAGTCTTCCCAACAATAGAGGAAAATATGATTCCCAAGGGTAGGTGGATCATTCACTAAGATAGAACATGTACTAGATCATAAAACAAATCTTAACAGATTTAAAATAACTAAAGCCATACTGAGGGTGTTTTCTGACCGTAATTGAATTAAACTACAAGTTAATTTTTAAAAAGATAAAAGGAAAATTTCCAGGCTGTTGAAAATTAAATTACGTACTTGTAAATAATCCATGGGTCAGAGAGGAAGTCTCAAAGGAAAATAGCCTGCATTGAACAGAAATAAAAATCTATCACAACCTGCAGTGTGAGCAAGTTCATAAACAGCTTTACAGGGTGCTTTCACAGAGCCCAGCTCTCTTCCTGACTTCCGTGGTACTTTCGGCGTCAATGAATTGTGGTACATTCTTACAATGAATGAACTAGTGAGTAATCGAAAGGAAGAACTATTGATAGTCATGTGTCACTTAATGATGGGGACACATTCTGAGAAATGCGTCGTTAGGCGACATTCTCATTGTGAGAACATCATAGAGTGCACTTACACAAACCTAGGTGGTATAGCCCCCTACACACCTAGGCTCTATGGCACTAATCTTAGGGGGCCACTGTCATGGCCCGTGTATATATATATATATATTTGGTTTGTTGACCGAACCATCATTATGCGATGCATGACAACTAGTAAGAACTTGAATGAATTTCAGAAGCATTATGCTAAGTGGAAAAAGCCAGCTCAAAGGTTACATTCTGTATGATTCCACTTATATGACATCTTGGAAAAGACAAAACTAAAAGGAAAGGAAACAGGTCACGGATTACCAGCGGTTATAGTGGTGGATGGCAACAGTGGGTAACTAGGCAGCTTCTTCAGTGAGATAGAACTGTTCTGTATCCTAATTGTGACAGTGGGTCTACAAACCTATACGTCTGTTAAGAGTCATAGAACCATACCCAGAAAGACAATTTTACTGTATGTTAACTTAAAAAAAAGTTTAAAAAATGCCTAGACTGACATACCTACTATTAAAATATTCAGATACGGCAGGCTTGGGTTTCAGCTGTGCTTCTGTAGCTTTCAAAGCTCTGACCTACAGCCATTCCTTAGAAATTTACTGTACTTTAAATATGAACTATTTTCCATTCCCTAGCCGTAGGTTGCGTTTCCTCATCTTCATTTCTTTACCCATATTGTTGCCTCCTTCTGACCTATTTTTATCCATCCTTCAAATTTTCTCACGTCACCTCCTCTCTGTGACCTTTCCTTGTCGTCACCTGTTCCTGCTACCCTCTCAGTTAGATGTGATGCCTCTTTCTTGTGAACAACATAAAGCAGTTCCCATCCTGGCTGCACACAAAATTATCACCGAGGAGCTTTTGAAAAATGCAGTGTTGCCACCCCGGACTACTGAATTGAAATCTTCAGGGTAGAGTCCGTGAATCTGTTTGCTTGTTTTATTTGTTCGCTTATTTGCTTGCTTGCCTTTTTGCTGTAAGCTCTTCAAGTGATGCAGAGTTGTGCCCACTGCTTTGTACCCCTCCTCATGCTTCCAGCTTAGTAGGGTAGACAGATACTTAGCAAATAACCACTGTGAGAAGTTTATGAGAATAGATGTCAGGGAAATTTGATTTAGCTTAAGCACATACTTGAACTGAGGTCTGAAGGGTAAATAAGAACCATTTAAGCCAAAGATTCATGGTAAGTGCATTTTAAATAGAACAGCATCTGTAATAGTAGAAAGGAAGAGAGCGTATATAGACATACTGAAAGAAGGCCAAGTGCCTGGAGTACAGAGTGAGGGAGGAACGGTACAGGATGAGACTAGTGTAGGGAGGAGTGTAGCTCACAGGAAGTATTTGGGTTTTTGTGCTAAAAATAGAGTTTTAAGTAGGACAGGAGTGATGTGATTAAATTTGCCTTTTAGAATTATCTGGGATAAATTAGAAGTGTGTTAATTACAGACTAATTTTTTATTAAGTGCATTAAGTATTTTTATTATGACAAAATAGTCCTTTTAGGCAGTTCTGGACTTGCAGATTGGCTATGTAGGCAAATAGGGAAGCTTGAGCCCAAAATTCCTTGAGTTCTCTGCTTTAGGACACCTGTGGAGTGATTAATTATGCAAAAGAGAACATTCATTGATAAGTGTTCAATGCCCTTAAGTATCTGTTTTCCTTTTATGCATGGAGTGAGTGGTATTCTGTAGTTAGTCACGAGAGCCGATTCTTAAATTTTCAGGAGTTTTACTAATTGTTTAACAGTCATTTTTAAAAATTAAATAATATGAACTTACAATTAAATTTATTAAAAACAAAGTAGTACTCTAAACTCATCTCTTCCTAATTATTTTGCTACATTTTATTATCTATGCCCTTAAGGTTCTCTATATCTACTGTATCCGTATGGTGGAAACTCTGTATAATCTTGTGCTATTGCACATTTCTTACTCCACACTCAGTGACATGTTGGTAGCTTGAAGTCAGCCACAATAGGAGTATTTACAATATGGAAATTGGCAAACATTACAGATCAGGACTTCTTAACCTCAGAGAGCTGGTTGTGGAAAATTTACCAGCATAACACTGCGTAGGTTAATTGGGGAGTTAAATAGATCTTTTCTGGCTAAACTATCAGCCTAACTGCAAAATAGGAAATTGGGAGTGGCGGGGGGAGCAGTAATATGTATACCAGGTTCTAAATAATCGTTTACAAATGAACTTTTAGAATGTAACTTATTATATTAACTTACAGTTTGTTTTTATTTCAATTTTCATTTCCCTCAAGTATTATATCTAAAATACTGAGTTCTGGGGCAGGCCCAATGGCTTAGTGGTTAAGTTCACACACTCCACTTCAGTGGCCCAAGGTTTGCCAGTTCAGACCCTGCGTGTGGACTTAGCAACACCGCTCATCAAGCCAGGCTGAGGCAGCGTCCCACATACAAGAACTAGAAGGGAGTACAACTAGGATCTGTACCTATGTACTGGGGCTTTGGGGAGAAAAAGAAAAAAGGAAGATTAGCAACAGATGTTAGCTCAGGTCTAATCTTCCTCACACAAAATAAAAAGCAATTGGCAGAAAAGACCTGTTAGATAAACATAAAAGAAAAAAATAAAATAACATGTGAGTTCTCTGGATAACACTTTTTAATAAAGGTTTATAAGCTGGTGTATACAGGAACTAAGAGCTCCTCTTCCAATATACTTAGCACTAGTAAGATTTGAGCAACAGTGTCCAAAGTTAGTCATGCTAGGGTCCCCCAAAAAATCATTGATTAGTTGGACTCGGGAAAAAAATGTTGGAAGACTGGGATTTTTCACGTTTAATAGAATACAAGATAGAAGACATCTATGAGATATGTAAAATTACATCTTCATATTTTGAGCACTAGAGTAAGTATTGAGTGGAAAGAATAGTATCTTCTTTCCAATACTTACCTAGAATGATTTTCGTAAAATTCCCTCAGTTCAGTAAATCTCATTGATCTAGTCATATGCATGCAGGAGGTTACTGTTATTGGTTTGAATTTCTTGTTCTTTAACTGCTTTTTGTCTTCCGTAGTGCTTTTGCATCTCTTCCAAAGCACAAACCTGGTTTCTGGTCAGATGTAGCTATGGCTGTAGGTTCTCGATCTGCTGAAGAATGCCAGAAGAAATACATGGAAGATCCCCGAGGAAAAGGATCCCAGAAGCATGTCACTAAGGAAAAGCCAGTCAATCCCAAAGGCCAAAATGGTAACCTTTGTAGTTTTTCCTTGTTCTCAGTATCGATTTCTAATCACTCACTAAATGTATTTTATATTTACCCATGTGTCTTAGTATAGGTGTTTTCTTAAAAATGTTAAAGCTAGGAGCCGGCCCCGTGGCCGAGTGGTTAAGTTCGCGCTCCGCTTCGGCGGCCCAGGGTCTCTCTGGGTTCAGATCCTGGGTGCAGACATGACCCTGCTCATTGGGCCACACTGAGACGGCGTCCCACATGCACAACTAGAAGGACGCACAACTGACATATACAACTATCTACTGGGGGGATTTGGGGAGAAAAAGCAGAAAAAAAAAAAAGATTGGCAACAGTTGTTAGCTCTGGTGCCAATCTTTAAAAAATAATTTTAAGCTACATAGAAAGAACTCCAGAGAGCATCTGTTTAATTCTTACCTAGATAGTGACTTCCATTAATAGGAGCCTTAGCAGCCGTGTGCTTTGAATTTGTTCTAGGAAATCTGCAGTTGGATCCAGAGATTTCAATGTCTGGGTTTTTGTTCTAAGGGTCTAACTTAATTTGAGGCCACTTTGGTGGGGCCTCCTAATAATTCATATGAAAACTTAGAATAAATTTAGTCTCTGTATTCCCCAGGAGTACACACTCCTGCCGGAGAAGTCCTCTGCTAAGCTTTAGAGAATATCCAGGACCCCTGTCTTAATTCAATAAGGTTCTTATTTTATCAGAATCAAAAATAAGGCGTCCAGCAAGAGGAGAGTAGGAGGTAACTCTCTCCCAGGGCGAAGGCCCTTTCAAGCCCACCCTGCCTAACCATGGGAGTCTCTTCATGAGGATCTGAGGATTAATCACAGTGCGCAGACCCAGGGTAGAAGGGTCCTTTGTTATACAGGAGACATAAATATTAATAACAGGCTCAGTTTACTTAATCAGAATACACCATTTAGGTTTCGCAAAGGCTGTTAACTTTAGAGAGACGTTACTATGAATGACCAAATCCTTATCAAAATGTTTTGCTGACTCTCAAGGCAAGATAGGTGATGCTGAGAAGAAACAAACGATTAAGATAACTGCCAAAGTGGGAACTCTTAAAAGGAAGCAGCAGATGAGGGATTTTCTGGAACAATTGCCAAAGGATGACCATGATGATTTTTTCAGTACAACACCTTTGCAGAATCACAGAGTACTGGTAAGAGTCTTAAATGCATGAAATCACTGTTTTCTTTATATTGGCTTTTGTGCCTTTCTTTTTTGTGTATGGTTAGTGTTCATTCCTAGCATTTAGGCCATGGATTGATAGCCGCCGCAGATGTGACCAGAGGGTGGTGTAGGAGGCAGGCTGCCAGCGCGTGCCGTCTTGTCAGTGTCCAGAGTCTGCCCATCGGTGGGGCTCACAGGTCATGTTTGTAGAACCAGATGGGAAACCCAGAAATAGGCCAAACGTGGGTAATGAAACTTTCATAGGCAACAAGGCAAACTCTGTTTAAAAAGTGATAAGCTGATTGCCTCCTGTACAGTAAATTGGGGGGGGGGGGGGGGGGGTCAGTGACAGCACCAGATTGACAGATTTGAATATATAAAAGAATTAGTTTTTGCAGTATGAAAAGTTGTATAACTAAAAACTTTAATGAGTGGGATAAAATATTTGCAACAAATAGAACAAAGCCAATAATATTTATAATACAAAGAACTCATTTGAATGATACTAGAGTACTAAAAAGTATCAAAATCACAGGAAAAAAGTGGGCGAGAAAGAATTCAAATGGCTGAATGAACACTTGAGGAAGTGGTCCTTTTAGCTAGAGTTCAAAGGAAAACAGAGTAAACTTATATGTATACCTTCTAAATTACAGAATCTTTTTAAAAAATAAGTTAAAATATCCACTAACAAAAAGCGATGGAGACATTGATGCAGTCATGCATCAGTGTGTGTGTAACTGAAGCATACCTTTTGGAAAGGATCATGGCAGTATATGAGAGCTGTGAAGACTAATGCCACTCATGGGAGTTTATCCTAAGAAATTCAACAAAGCCAAAAGTCTTCGCAAAGATACTCACTGCAGGTTTATCTTCTCAGCAAAAAACTGCAAACAATCTATATATCCAATAAGGATGTTCTTCATAAACACAGTGAAATACAGTACAAATATTAAGCACAAATGTGAGAGTGTTTCTAGAATCTAAATATAAATATTAAGTATATTAAGATTAAAGTAATGTGAAAATGGAAGGATATAGACAACTGCACTATTAAGTGTAAAAATTGAGGGGCCGGCCCTGTGGCGCAGCAGTTAAGTTCCCATGTTCTGCTTCGGCGGCCTGGGGTTCGCCGGTTCGGATACCGGGTGCGGACATGGCACGGCTTAGCACGCCATGCTGTGGTAGGCGTCCCACATATAAAGTAGAGGAAGGTGGGCATGGATGTTAGCTCAGGGCCAGTCTTCCTCAGCAAAAAGAGGAGGATTGGCAGCAGATGTTAGCTCAGGGCTAATCTTCCTCCAAAAAAAAATTGAAAGAGTTGTTTTAGTAAGCTAAACTTAAGGGTAGTTTTTTCATCTACTCTTGTTGTAATATTGCTGTTAAATCATCTCCAATTTAAGAAGGCTAGACAGTGCTTTGAGAATTTAGTAACATCGTTATCTGGGCCCCCCTTTTTGCCTGCACAGGTTATAAAGGGAGATATTTTAAGGGACCCATCAGACGCTCTTAACTATGTTCTCTGCACAGCAACCGGGCACCTTTAGGGGTTGTGCCCTTTATATTATTCCACCAGCATCTCAGGTTCTATATATGTTTTGGCCTAAATGCAAAAGTAGCAACATTTGAAAAACAAAGATAATAAAATAGAAATGGAAAGCAGTGAATTATATTCCATTTTTTGTGGCATAAGTCACCTTTTTCTAAGGTTTTAATAAAAAGGTAAGTAAAATCTTAATTAAGGATTGTTGTTTATTGGAAATATATACACACAGAAGTTAAACAGTGCTTGAGTTCCTATTAAGGGCCAAGTGTAATAGTAAATGAATTATAGTTTTGTTGTGTCTACACAGAGGTCAGCAAACTATGGGCCAAGGGCCCAATCTGGCATCCTACCTTTTTTGTAGGCAAGATTTGATGGGAGCACAGGCATGCCCATGGTTTACGTGTCGGCTCTGGCTGCCATCTGCAGCAGCAGAGTTGAGTAGCTGGGACAGACTGTCTAGACACAAAGCCTAAAGTATTTCCCATCTGACTCTTCACAGAAAACGTTTGCTGACCCTGGTCTATACAACCTTTAGAAAGAGGTGTCATTGTCTCCATTTTACACAAGAGAAACGAAGTTTTTTAGAGGCCAAGGCTCTGTTGTCTACCTGCCAGCATTTTCTGTTATCTCAGTTGGAAAATTATAAGAAGGAAAACAACTTGTCAGCCCATCAAAAGACATTTTGTGATAATGAGAAATTCCATTTTTAGGGGTGCCTGCTGGTAATAAATATTTGCTTTCTAGTTGCCAAGTTTCCAGGACAGTCAAGAAGAGGATGATATTCTGCCAGATATGGACAGAAACCCAACAACTCCATCGTCAGTTATCTTTCCGTTGACAAAAACTCCTCAGGGTCAGCATGTCAGTCCTGGCATGCTGGCCTCTATAAATAGGTAAATGTTCACACCTGGTACTGTATTCTCTGCATCAGCAATTAACATTTCATGAGTCAAAGACAGTAGATCTCAGTAATGAGAAGAGTCATGAAAATCTAGAAAGAATAGTTCCCAGAGGTTGAGGATGGACACGTTCAGCTGGGAGGGTGCTATTCAAAGTGTCGGGACACAGCTTACACTTCACATCAGGGCAACTTCCAAGTGGATCAGAGTTTTGCATGTAGAAATCTTGGAGAATTATTTTATAATCTGAGATAAGTCAAGGTCTTTCTATGATGCAAGACCCAGAAGCCACTAACAAAAAGAACAATAAAGTCAACCATATAAAAAATAAAAATTTTACTTGGTACCAACCACCATAAACGATCAAAAGAAATGACAATCTGAGAACAAAGAATATATGGAACATATCACAGGAAAAAGGCTAATTTCCTTGATACAGCACTCCTACAAATTAACAAGAAGAAGAAAGCCATTCTCATGTGTCACTAGTGAGAAGGTGGATTAGTACAGTCTCTGCAGGCAGAGTTTGTCTGTATCTACCCAAATCTAGATGCTCCTTGACCTAGCAGTCCAGCTTCTAGAATTGTGAACACACAGCTTATTCATTGCTGTATTGTTAATAATGACAAAAGACTGGAAGCAACTGGAATGTCCATCAATAGGCTCTCGTCAAATAAATTCTGGTACGTTATGTAGCCATAGAAATTAATGAGGAAATTCTTTATCTACTGTTACGGTAAAATGTCCAAGATACATCAAGCGAGAAAAGTTAGATGCAGTGAATTACGTGTTACCATTTAGGTAAATACGGGCTGTCTGTGTATGCGTGTATATGTGTATATACTTGTCTATGTATACTTGTGCCTACTTATGCATATATACATAAGTGCTTTTATTTGATTAAATACCTGAAAGGATACCCGAGAAACTGAAAACATTGGTGATCCCTGGAGAGAAGAGCTAAGATAGCTTGGGACAAGTAAGATGGAGACTTTTTGAATTTTGAACTACATGAATATGGGAACTACTTGAAATATAAATCAAATTACAAAAAAAAATAGGGGTGGCCAACTGTCACAGAGAAAAGATGGTAAGTGATAAGAATGAGGCCTGAGTGTAGGCTATTGAGTTTGGCAGTTAAGCAGACCAATGCTGACCTTGGTAAGAACAATTTCCATGGGGTGTGAGAGGCAGAAGCCAGATGATAATGAAAGCGAAAAAGGTGTTCAGCGCTCTCCATGAAGCTTGGTGAAATTTTAATTTGCATTTTATTTAGCAAAAACATAATTTTTCCCTAGCAATCCACAAATTATTTTTTATTTCAATTTGGTGTTTAGTGCAGGTGAAAATATATTGAGAATATAGTTTTGGGAAGCACTTTGGCCAAATCATCAAAAGCTTCAAAATATTCATCCCTTTGGCCTTTGAATTTTGTTAGCCAATTCTAAGGAAATATGAGATTGGGCAAGTACATATGTGCATTTGTATGAATAAAGATGTTCTCAAAACACAATACTGAAAATTTGGAGATAACTTAAATGTCCTAGAAGTTAAGAAATTATGTGTAATAACTAAAAAATCACACTTGCAAGAATTTTTAATAAGATAGAATAATGTTCAGTGGATAATAGTTTTTAAAAGCTAGGAAATAAAACTTCACACTTTTTTATGGCTGAGTAATATTCCATGGTATACATGTGCCACACCATCTTTATCCATTCATTTATTGATGGGTACTTAGGTTGTTTCCATGTTTTAGCTATTGTAAATAATGCTTCAATGAACCTAGGGGTGCAGATGTCTTTTCAAATCACTGTTTTCAATTTTTTTTGACAAATAGAAGTGGAATTGCTGGATCATATGGCAGTTCCATTCTTATTTTATTTTATTATTTATTTTGCTGAGGAAGATTGGCCCTGAGCTAACATCTGTTCCAGTCTTCCTCTATTTTGTATGTGGGATGCTGCCCCAGCATGGTCTCCGCCAAGTGATGTAGGTCTGTGCCCCGGAACTGAACCCAGGATGCCAAAGTGGGGCACACCAAACCTAACCACTAGGCCTCAGGGCCTGCCCCCATTTTTCATTTTTTGAGGAACCTCCATATTGTTTTCCATAGTGGCTACACAGTTTATGTTCCCACCAACAGGATGCAAGGGTTCCCTTTTCTCCACATCCTCGCCAACAGCTATTTGCAACAACATGGATAGACTTAGAGGGTATTATGCTAAGTGAAATAAGTGAGACAGAAAAAACAAAACAAACGAACAAACAAAATAGAAACAGACTCAGATTCTCCAAACAAAGTGGTAGTTCCCAGATGGGGGAGGAGTTGAGGGCCTGAGTGAAAGAGGTGAAGGGGAAAGGTGAAGTACAAACTTCCAGTTACAAAGTGAATGACTTAGGGGGTGTAATGTACAGCAGAGGGAGTATAGGCAGCAGTACTGTAATAACTTCGTATGGGGACAGATGGGAACTGCACTTAACGTGGTGATCGTTTCGTAATGTATGTAAATATCGAATCAGTATGATGTACACCTGGAACCAATAGGATATTGTATGTCAGTTATACTTCAGTAAAAAAGTAAAAGCTACATGCAGTACGATCCCAGTTACATACTGTGTGTTCATAAGAGAAAGGAGATTTCCTGACCAAAACATCACCCGCCATTCTCTTGGGGTTGTACAATTAGACTGATATGGGTTGTGGGATTTTCTCTATCACTTTTACAGTTAAGGAAATATAGCATTTTTTTCTTATAGAGCACATGCTGGACTCATTTGTATTATGAATATATTTCCTAAAACCTTTTTCTTATTTTAAAAAATGAGTTTCCTAGGCCTCTTCACTATCTCTTGACTTCACCAACTCGAGTAATCGACTTCCTTTTTATAACAATTTTGAAACGTTTTTTTCACTTCAGAAATGTTCTCTCTGCAGACCACAGACTCATGAGGTGCTGCTCCTGAGCAAGTGGCCAGGCCTACTCACTCGCTGAGCAGTAGCGTTTGTGGTTCCCGTTAGCATCTTAGTACAATCACATTTACAGATTTCTACCTGTCATACCTTTAAGGTTGCTTCCAAACAGTCATAAAGGAAAGGATAATCGGCCAGATAGGATCTTGGAGCCAAGAGAGAGGATTAGGATTGGTGTTCAGCTGGTGTTTACTGTCATTTACTGTATTTACTGTCATGGGACTTGTGGAGGGAATTGAGAACAACCGTTCTGTTTGGCTTGAATTTTCATCTGTAAATTTTGAGTCAAGCCTGTTAGCTAAGAACGAGAGGGGAAAGAGAGAAGGTAAAAAGAAATGAAGAAAACTTCATAGCTGGTCTGGGGAATACAAGACAGATGTAACTCTGTAGAAATAAAAGGCTTGTGAGCTGAACTGAAGACTCAGCACAGTTGGAAGTCATAAATTAGTTGAGGGTTTTCATCACCAAGTATATCCTTAAAGTGGTCAGCTTTAAGACTGACTCTGGATGGGGAAGGAAGTGAACAGGAAAAAGGAGTGAAAGGTGTATCAAGGGAGTCCAGGGACAAGAAGTGTCTGTGAGTTTTGGAAAATAGAAGCAGCAAGATAGAGACTGGAAAGAGCACAATTGGACAGTGAACAATAAGCAAATCATAATGTCCTAGAATATTCTTAATCAGTGTTTCCTTTAAAATGTTTGATTGAAGCATTTTGTCCATCTCCGTAGGTACACCATTGTCTTTTTAAAAATGGAAAAGAAAATGTACTTTTTAAAGATTGAAACACATTTTAAATTAATTTTATCAACTGCTGTTCAGCCTGTGGATAAAAGTATGGTAGTTAACATTGGCTTGAAATACTTTGTATTCAAACAGGAATGAATGTGATAAATATGTTTTCCATATGCAAAAAAACCATAAAAGTAAAGGTGGCATTGTCTGGGGCAATATCAAGAAAAAAACGGTAAGTATTTTTATTCTTCATTCATTTTCTCAACAGATATCTGTTAACAACTGTAATAGCTGGCAGGTTGTGGTGGTTAGGAGTTACGTAACTGTCCCTGCCCTCACGGTGCTTACAGCCTAACGCAAGTCCATCACGACAGGAGGCCTCTAGCGAGATAAGTGTGGAAGTGCCGTAGGATTACAGGTGGCAGCACGTAGACTGAAGCATCTGAGCACGGTGAGAATGGATAACGTTTCTCACTTAAGGAGCCAGGTGGGGGTGGGAGAAATACATGCAGGTCAGGGAAGGACGTTTCAGGCCCGACACAAAAGCATACTATCTGTGCAATGATTGGGCAATAATCCAGGCTAATGAATCCTGATTGCCATTGGATAAGAAATTTCATCAAATACTATGCAGTTTCAAATGGTTTCAAATGTTTTTTAGATTCAGCTACTTAATTTTTTCATATATATCTAGATTTAAAATCTAATTACAGAAAAAATTTTAACTTCAAAGTTGCCTTAATAGAGTGATCTATATCCCTTTGAGAAAAGATTGAGAGCCTTTATCCTCTTGACTTTTTAAATTTTTAATGTGATTTTAATTTGGATAACTTATATCCAGATAAAAATACAAATATTCTAGAAAAATTAGTTCATCTCAAATTGCCTCACAGTGAATAGCTAATCTTAGAGAATGATCATTGATGGGTGGAAGGAGGATGACCTTGCCCCCCTTCTGACTAGGTTGTGGCCGTCTCTTCCTCCCTCGCCTATGTTGAAGTATTTCTGTTGCACACTTGCTAGAGTGCGATTCCTCTTGGAGAGGCTCTCAACTGAGCACTGGGATCCCATAATCACGTCCAGTCTTCCTGGGCTTCACTTGTCCACAGGAAGTGGTAGATTCCGCTGGGGACCCTGATGTAATAAAATCGGCTTGGAGACTCAGGTCTTCAAAAGAAACCTCTGCTCCATAAGTGAAGATGCAGGCAGACGTCCTCTGTGTTCTTAGCTTCCCTTTGTCCAATCCCACATTCCTTAGGAGAAGGAAAGTTTGTTTTGTTGCAAAGGACCTGGGATCATCTTATCATAGTGAGAAGGATGCCTTCTAGTGTGTTTTGCCAGTAAGAAGCTGGGTTGCTTTGACAAGTATTTCTCAAACTTAAATGAGCATAGGAGGCTCCTCGGGAATCTTGTTAAACCCCAGATACTGATCCACTATTTGAGATTCTGCATTTCTAACAGGCTCCAGAGCCAGCCCGGATGATCTAGGGGTTAAGATTTGGTGCTCTCACCACCAAGGCCCAGGTTCATTTCCTGGTCAAGGAACCACACCACCCATCTGTCAGTTGTCATACTGTGGTGGCTGCATGTTGCTGTGATGCTGAAAGCTATGCCACTGGGATTTCAAATACCAGCAGGGTCCCCCATGGTGGACATGTTTCACCAGAGCTTCCAGACTAGACAGACTAGAAAGGACCTGGCCACACACTTCTGAAAAAATGGGCCATGAAAACCCTATGCATAGTCGCGGAGCACTGTCTTATAAGTGCCGGAAGGGGAGAGGATGGCACAGAAAGACCCCGTAGGGTCCCGCTCTGCTGTCCACAGGGTCGCTAGGGGCCTGAATTGACTTGACAGCACTAAATCGCAACAAACCAGCTCCAGGTGATGCTTATGCTGCTGATCCGTGCGCCACTGAGTAGCAGAAGACCTAACCCACTCAGTCTTTTCTCTCTGCAAAATGAGAAAAAGTTCATACGGATATTTCTGCAAGGGCCCTTCCTATTAAGAACTTTGGTTTCTCTGTGTATCTACATCATCTTACCTACCTCTGGGCTTTTTATTCGTAATAGGTTTTTGTTTGAGCAGGCTGCCAAACTACAGTGTCTTTGTGATTTAGACCCATTTTTTCATAGACTAATGTTGTAGCCAATGTGTGAGGATCGAAAAAGATTTGGTATTAAAAGTTCTGATTTCAAGTTCCAACTCCCCCATACCAGCTTCATGACAAGACAAGTGGCTTGAGCTTTTGAATCTCATTTTATTCATGTGTGATGTGACATGGGGATCATGATACTGGTTTATCTCACTAAATGGTTTTGAGGGCTTAATGATGTAATCGTGTTTGGACTCATTTCACAGGAGAAAATACACTGACATCACAATCTATGAACACAAGTTAGTATCTCAAGTTTCTTTCAACAACATTGACCCTTAGTACAGTGGGTATTCTCAGTCGTATTTTCTTTTCTGTTCATTTGTTAGAATAGCCAGCCATGGCCACTAGTTTAAAAAGCATTGACGTATATAGGTATGCATTATACATTTAAAACTTGCCATATAAATTCCCATTTTAGTCAAGAATTTAAAGTACAGAGAATTTAAATTTTGCTAGTGTTAATGGAGTGGAATAAGTACTTAGTAGATTTTGGCAACTTCCAGAGGCCCACAGACTGTCCTTTAACCGTTGTAGCATTAGTTTGTAATGTTTTCTTACAGTCATGTTTGCCAGCAGTGGGAAACAACATTGAATAGTCATGGTTCCTGCCCTGGATAAATTCAACTTAAAAGAGAATTAGACAGAATTTTACAGATAATCACGTATGATTAGGGGTTGCAGGCACATGCTCCAAGTACTCTGGGAGGAAGGATGCGCAGTCGTGTCTGGTGTGAGGCCGGCTTCAGAGGGGGCACCATTCAGCTATTAATACGAGCTCTCTTGTAGGTTGAAACTGATTTTGCAACTCCAACATCAAGAAGAAAAGCCCCGTTTAACAAAGGTAAGTACTTACATCCTTATTTTCGAGCTCAGTTCTGTTACAGGGTCGTCTCTTTATTAACATGGTACTAAAAGTAATTGCTCTCAAGTGGGCAGACTTACCATTTTGTTTCTTACAGTTTTCAATTTCATTGAAATTACTTTTAGAAATTTATTAATCTTTTTTATTAAACTTCTCTTTACAGAATTAGCAGAAAACTCTGGTATTGGAAAACTTTTCACTAATGCTATGGAGTCTTTAGATGAAGAAGAGAAAGACTATTATTTTTCAAACTCTGATTCTGCATAGTAAAAATGAGAAAATATTTCCAAGATTTTTATCAAGAAGCGGACAGTGTATTTATATCTTCATTTGAAGTACATGTATTTTCTTTATAATAGCTTCATATTCAACTGTGGACTCCTTTTCCAAGGTTTCATGTTTTTGTATTCAAAGTAAAATATCCTTCTATAAAATATTCCTCATTGCTGCAGCTTACTAAAAATATAAGGAAAATTGTTTTGTTTGTGTAGATATTTGTAAATTTCTGGTTTGCAATGTTAAAAAATATATATAGATAAGTCTCTCATAAGCATCTAAGTCTTATTACTTTAAGAAAATCATGTTCCAAAATGACTTTTTAAGAGCTTTCAAGAAAATGTTGCTATCCTTAAGGGGGAACGTGGGGGAAAATAAAAGGTAGATTGTACTGGTGGCTAGTGAATTCATGAAAACTTTAAGTTAGCATTTGTCACCACTTGGTATACAAGCCAGAGTTGATCTAATGTTTAAATTACATGTTGCTGAAACTATTTCACACGCTATTTTTCTTAAAACTTTTGATTGGCATATCTATGAAACCTATGTAAATTTAACATTGCTTTTTCAGTATTTTATTAGGTCGAATCAGAGAACAGATTTTGTTGCATTCTTAAAAGCCTTATTTACATATGCAGACATAGATTAAGTTTTTATCTCAATATTAAAAAGACTGGATTAGATAAACATCAGGTGATCTACCAGTGTAAGGAGACAAGTTACTATGTCATAGTACACATTGTTTTCCTTTTAGACAGATGGTTTCTTTAGAAATAAACTTCTTTTAGCTTATTCTGCCATTATGTTTTAAAATTATGTTGACATAGAATATTTTCCATCTGGTTACAGTACATACTGACCTTTGTCTCTAGTTAGGTTGTTCAAATAAAGTTAGTGTACTTTTATAGTATTTGTGTTGTTTTTATGATTGAGGTCACAGTGGTTTGCAGCAGCATATAAATTTCAGATGTGCGTTCTTGTATTTCCACTAATGTATAGACTGTGTTGTGTTCACCACCGAAAGTCTAGTTTCCATCCATCACCACGCACGTGTCCCTTTACCCTGTCACCCTTCCTGCTTGCTTATTTGTTTAAATTACTGCATCACAGAAAGAAAGCAAGATGTGTTTTGTTACTGGTTTAGTTTGTTTCCTCCAAAAATGCCAGAACTTTGAGTAAAAACTACATTTTCTTGTTTCTCGAGAATTTAGTCAGTAATGACCTGCAGTTATCTAACTAACTATAAGGTTTCTAGAAATGCAAGATTTAAAGCGAATAGTGCAGCTAGACTGAGGTGGTCCTCCTCAAAGCTGCCGTGGCCGTTTCCTGCCACGAAGACTTAGCTGTAGGCTGGAACAAATGAAAGGGGTATTTTGGAGTGGCTCTAAACACACTGCTGTACAACTTAAGTTGCCAATATTTGGTATAATACCACACTGTCTGAAGGTAGGGATAGTGTTTTAGGAGTTAGAAGGTAGTCCAATTCCACAGTGGGAAACAAAGCTGATGTGGAACTAGCATAGATCTGACAAACCCAAAGTGCGAGCCCACCCGCCAGGTCCCTGTGTCCTATCAGAACTCCCTCAGCATTGCCCTCGTCTGTTCTGTCGTATCCCACCTCCTCGCAGGTCCCTGGTTAGTCCTACTTCTTCCCCTCAGGTCAGAAGATAAGCCAGTAAGGTTAACCTAACCTCCCAGGAGACTGACTTACACATGGAAAAGAAAGACTTGAAGGGCGCAAAGACAGGAAGATGGACTGACAGGCAGTAGGGCTGACGGTCAAGTACTACCAGACAGCGTCTCGGAGGCGGCTGTGGCAGCTTCAGAGTGGCTGCAGCTCCCCACAGCAAGCATAAATGAATGCAGTCCTCTAGCTCATGTCCCTGATACAGCGCTGGTTTGTGAAATATTTTGTCTGATGGTGGACACACAGAATCACAGCATGCTGGTGTCTGCACGGGAGGTGCTGCAAGGTGGTGAGTGGCCCAGGTCGCTGTGGGTTGTTGAGGGACTGCAGGCTCCTGGCGTGCAGCTGGGGCAGAGGGTCACCAGAGGTCCCCACGCACATGCACCTCTGACACAATGAAGCAGGAACAAGCAGCAGCAAAAAGCACACTGGGACAGAAAGAGAAGCCCCTTTGCTTCTCCTGACGAGGCTTAGGTCATGCTCACTGTAGGGAAAATGCTCAGAAAGTTCAGTCTGTTCTAGAACAAGATACTGAAGGGTGAGTTTGAACCTGAGAGATAATAAACTGATAACTGCGCGTCAGCCAATAACTTACAGAACTTTTCTCTCTCGCTCAGTTGCTTTCAGAAGAATCGAGAATTTATACTATCCCAAAGGAGCCAAATTCACAATTAGAGTAACTTTTTAGTGAAAAAGAACTGTTTCTAGGTACTGGGTACTCATTCTAGATTTTCCAGTCTAAACCTGAATGAGCCACTTGTTTCTTGGCCTCACTTTTGTCATCTGATAAGAAAGGTCATTTGAGTTAGATGAGCTCTAAGTCCCTGCCGAGTCTCAGGCCAGGACAGCTCTCTGCTGTGAGGCTGGTCCCACTGCCCAACTGTAGCAGAAGACAAACTGAAGGCAGCAGGAGATAAGGGACTCAAAATGGGGGCAAGTGTCCAGAATTAAAAGCTGCTGTAGCTCCAGACTGACTACAAGGAAGGGCCTCAGGTTTTGCAGATGAAAACATGGAGCCATCTTAAAATAATACACACAGAAGGTAACGGGTCACAATGAAAGTCCATACTCAATAGCTCCTCTGTAGTAAAACGAAATTCTCCAAGTCCAGGTCGATATACCACTTCTTTAAAGATGATATTTCAATGAAAAAAGTAGTGTAGGCTGGAGTTCATACCAATAGGATTTGATTGATTGTACTTGAGTGTGACAACTTTGGTAAGATAAACACTCAGTTAAATTTTCTAGTTTCCTGGTTACTGGGGCATGTATCTCACAACACACCTACCACCACACCTCATCCAATAGTATGCAGACTTAGGACCTTTAAAATATTGTAGATGATATTATAGTTAATATATAGGAAAAATTGTTTATGACCATTAAGTTGGCAGCAGACACATCAAATTATGCTCACAAATGACAACGACAGTCTTTGGAAAAATTCCAAAATACATCTCTAACTCTAGCTTTTACTTTCTTAATAGCACCTTCAATAAACTTTTCTTTATCCAATTTAAAAAAAAGGTTTCATAATCTAATCAAAATGGTAATTGATCAGGGGTTTCTTTTTTAATAATTTATATAAATAAAAATGTATACAATATAAAATAATACGGAAATATTCTCTTATTTACATATGTACACTGCTAATCACGTCACAGCGATGACTACCGATGTGCACCTTGCGCTGGGAGTCCTGCCCGCGCCCCAAGCAGCCTGATCAAGCGTCGGGCTGCAGGCCACCGTGGTTCAGGCCGTTGGGTAACATCTGCATGTCAAATACGTGGTGAACGTATCTGCAGATCTCCTCGGCCTTCTGAGGAGGCACTTGTGCGTGTGTGGAGATTTCCTGAGGTGAGCTGAGAAATAAATGAGACAAAAACATTACACTAGGACTTGTGAGTTATGAAATTTAAATTCTTATCTTGCTTTAGGAACACAAAGCATTAAAGCCTTAAGAAAATCATCCCTTCCTAAGCGTTCTACATCCAGTTAATATGTGTTTAGCATTAAATAAAACAAGGGCTTATTCTCTGTACTTAAAATCAGATATAACAATAATTTCAACATCTTACATGGGCCTTTAGTTTAATTAAAATTAACCTATTTTTTTAAATCCTCCTTTCCAAGCAATATAATAATCAAAAACCAGTTAAATTTTCAACTTGAACATTTTTCTAATTACAGAACTAAACAGCCCAGAAATGTTAGGATGAAGATGAAGTGTAGGTGCTGTCTGTCTGACTACGTAGGGCTCGGAGCCCCTCAAAGGCCACACCTGCATTTCCCCCATTAATGTCCTTGGCTTCATGCAGGGACTTAGGCGCTGAGAAGCAAAAAGTCTTGACTCAATCAGATTTTTCAAAAAATACTAAAATTCCTGTGAAATGCTAAGAATGATTTAAAAGTAACCATTATTATTTGATACAAATATTAAAACAGCCATACCTGTTAGTCATCTTTTTCACAGATGAAAACTGGTGACACATATTTAATGCAGTGACATAGCTTACGTTGGGAATACTGAGATAAAACTGAAGCGCCCCACACTTATTACTGTTCACCACTGCTGGGACCTGAATGCCAACATTCTTTCTTTGTTCCACTAAAGATAGTTCCTTTAGCAAATCTGCAGTTTCTTCTTGGCAGGAACTGAAAAGAATTCGGATTCCAGCACCAATTAAGGTAGTGAGCAGGTTATCATAGCTCTTTGTTCTCCTAAACATCCTGGATGTGTCTCCTAAATATGAAATATTTAGGAAAATGCAAACCTTAGTGACTTACATTAAGTAGAATCATTAATACTATATATTATTAAAATCCCAAGATCTACACCATTAAGCAAACTAGTGCCACATTATGATAACGAGAAACCCTGCAGCTAAAGATTGAAAGTGATTCTCAAATGTCTAAGAGAGAAAGTAGGGAGAACAGTCTCGATGAGTGTCCTAAACCGGGATCAACACAGGAAGCTGAGGATGCAGGGAGAGCGTACATTCCTAGATAATTGATTTCTGAAGGCCGAGGCTGCATTACTCATCTCTAAAATGCTTCCTAAGGCCAGCAGTGATGAAAGCTTCCTTAAGATACAAAATTACCTTATGTATTTATTCCAAGAGTAACTCAACACCTTGCACACCCACTGTAACATCTCTTTAACTCTTGCCTGTTAAGTTCCGTCCCTGGCTTTCCCATTTTCTTTCCCTTTCTACCCACATCCTTTCTTTGGCATTCTTCATTATGCCAAAAAAAACAAAAAATACTTTTCCATAACTTTGGCCATGTTACTTTCCTCTTTATTCCAAATCTATTTCCTTTATAAAGGCTATGTTAGTAAAGAGGAAATTATAGAATTTTAGCACTAATAGGAACCAAGAGATCACCTAATCTAAAGCCCTCACTTGTCAAATTAAAAAAGAAAAAAGACTAAAAAACAGTCACTGAAAGATAGAGTGATGGGGCTGGCCTCATGGCCGAGTGGTTAAGTACATGTGCTCCGCTTTGGCGGCCCAGTGTTTGCCAGTTTGGATCATGGGCAGGGACCTACACACTGTTCATCCAGCCATGCTGAGGCAGCATCCCACATAGAAGAACTAGAATGACCTCTAACTAGGATGTACAACTATATACTGGGGCTTTGGGGAGAGAAAAAAAAGAAAGTGACCTATCCAAGATCACATGGTTCACCAGTGACAGCATGGGGATAAAAAGGTACGTTGCTCAATTCTCAAACCAAGGTCTTACATAAACTACATTATTTCCTTTTACATAATGACCGTGTAATATTTTTTTTCAGTGAGGAAGATTGGTCCTGAACTAACTTCTGTTGCCAATCTTCCTCTTTGTGCTTGAGGAAGAATGTACCTGAGCTAACATCTGTGCCAATCTTCCCCTATTTTTTTATGTGGGACTGCCAAAGCATGGTTTGATGAGTAGTGTGTAGGTCTGTGCCCAGGATCCAAACCTGTGAACCCTGGGCCGCCAAAGCAGAGCACTCAAACCCAACCACTACGCCACCAGGCCGGCCCCATGACTGTAATTCTTAAATTTTCATAGTGGTTTTCACCTGCTTGATTTCACTTAAGCCTCATAATATCACAAGATGAGTGGGACCAGTGTATGAATAACTCCTCAGGGGGAGGGATTTGTCAATAGCTATGGAGACCCCAGACCCAGAGCGTCTCCTGCTTCCACATCCCTCGATCTTTTCACTATCCTCAGGGGCTCCCCATCCAATTAAATATTACCCACAGAAATCCCCTAAATGAAGCTCCAATCCTGCATTTCCAACTGCATCCTAGGCACCCGTTTCAGTGACCTACTGATAACTCAATCTTAACATGGTCAAAATTGAACACCCCTTGTCCCTCAAATCTGCTTCTCTCTCTCATAGTTGTCATCTTGATGAACAGCACCAGTACCTAACTGCCCAGGATCCAGGAAACTGGTCAACTCAAGAGTAATTCTTGGGGCCGGCTCCGTGGCCGAGTGGTTAAGTTCGCGTGTTCTGCTGCAGCGGCCCAGGGTTCGGATCCTGGGCGCGGACATGGCACCGCTCGTCAGGCCACGTTGAGGCAGCGTCCCACATCCCACAACTAGAAGAACATGCAACTAAGATATACAACTGTGTACAGGGGGGTTTGGGGAGATAAAGCAGAAAAAAAAAAAAGAGTAATTCTTGAATCCTTCTAATCCCACCTCCGAAATCTCCAGAATCCCACTCCTTGTCCCCACTGCTGCCTTATCTAAGGCCCTCATCCGTTCTGGGACTCCTGAAAAAGACCTAACTGGTTCACTTGCCTTCAACCTCTCACCCTTCAATTCTCATAAGCTATATTTAAACACAATGACTAATGAAACACATCACGATATTATGTAAACATGAAATGACATCATGAGTCCAAGTATTTACATTTAAGAGCTTCCCACGTCCTGACAGAAGAATGAACTAAATAATAGTCAAGTTCCTCTACAGCCTTATAAACAAAGACATTTCAAAATACAAACCTGTTTTTTCTCTGTCCTTTTCCACAATCACACATATTCTTTCAAACATGCTCTGTAGGTACTGGATCTGGTCAATGAGCTTGTTCTTCCCGACACTGTTTAGCATCTCCGACTGAGGCCTCCTTTCCACCACCATGCGGTTACTCACGATGTAACCACAACCATGAAGAGGACAGACCTCTACCTGTAAGCCATGAACTGCTCGCAGGGAAGAAATTACTTCTGAACCAGAAGTGATTTCACGACTATCTACAAGAATACAAGTTCTTCGGCCTTCTGGTGGAAATCTGGGAGCAGCATGTGTGCCAGCCAAATGTGGTCTTGAGCTGGAACAGTATGCCATTGAAGAGCCAGAGTCCTCCCGCACACTCCCGACCTGGAACAGTAGGAAACATCCATCCTGATCAGGTTAAACATGTATTAACACCATAAACTTCTAACACCTCACATGATTTTCCGTACTGATATATTTTTTTTTTTTACTCTTTTTTTCTTCCTTCAACATGACCAAAGTGACTATGTAGATAAAGGACCAAACCACCGCTTCACACCTAGTAGGATGGTTATGATTTTTAAAAGAGGGAAAATAAGTGTTGATGAGAAAGTGAAAAAACTGGAACATACCTCGCTGGAGGGAACGTAAAATGGTGCCGCCACTGTGGAAAATAGTTTAGCAATTCCTCAAAAAGTTAAACACAGAATTACCACAGGACCCAGTAATTCCACTCCTAGGAATAGACCCAAAAGAACTGAAAACAGGCACTCAGACACTTGTATGCCAATGTTGGTTCATTTTGGAAAATTCTCAGCCATTGCCTGTTCAAATATATTCTCTACCTTGTTCTCTCTTCCTCTTAATTCCAGTTACAAGTACCTTAGACTCATGGACACGATCCCACAGCTCTTGGATGCTCCCTTTTGTTTTCTCACTCTTTCTCTGTGTTTCAGTCTGGCTAATTCCTAGTGACCCAGCTTTAGTTTGTTGCTTCTTTCCATGCTGTGTTGAGTCTACTAACGGGCCTGTTGAAGATATTCTTCATCTCTTACCATGTTTTGCATTTCCACTTTGTTGTTCTTTATATTTTCCATTTCTCAGATGATATTCCCTATCTGTTCATGCATGTTTGACTTTTCCACTAGAGCCTTTAACGTATTAACCATGGTTATTTTAAATTCCCTGAGAGTTCCAACAACTGGGTCTTATCTGAGTGTAATTCTTGAGAATGTGTTTTCTTCTTCCTTCTATGTACCTTGTAGCTTTTGGTTGAAAGCCAAACATCTTGTGTAGGACAGTAGTAATTGAAGTAAATAGTATATATACCTAGAAACAGATATGCCTTTCTTTTGCTAGGCCTTTAGTGTGTGCTGTTGAGTCAATCTAGTCCAAAGTTGAGTTGGGTTTGGGTTTTCTTATTGCTATGATTACTCTAGGTACAACCAGAGGCTTCAAACTCCTGTAGGGTTACGCTGTATTTAGGTTGGGGGCTGGGTGGCCAGACGACTTTCTAAACGTTCACTCAGCTCTAGGTCTTCTCTGTGAGCCTGTGCCTCAGAGCCTGTGCCTCAGAGAGGTTCTCACCCATGCTCTTGTCCCTCTCAGCAGTAGATTGCTTTGATTTGTTCCTAATGTTTGGAAGCCTGGTTGAAGGGAGCGCTGAGGAGGAGATGGGGTGTTTTCTATTGTCCTGATTCAGCCTGTCTTGCGCAGGACTTGTGTCCCTCCATCTCAGAGGTGCACCTTCTCAGTGATCCTGCCCTCCCCTACAGTGGCTGGAGATCTCTAATGTTCCAGGCCGAAGATGTTGCCCTGCCCCGTTCTCAGGTGTACAGCATTTTGTTCTTGTTCCCTTTCTCCAATGCAAAGGGTCTTCCCCTCAGCCCTGAGGGCCAGAGAGTTTGCTGCTCTTCCCCCAGCAGCTAAGCTTTTGTTCCACAGGGGAAATGGGGGGAACGACCCAGATGGGGTCTGGTGCCTTCTCCACAGTAACTGCTGGTCACTTCCCAAGGCCTGCCTCAGGAAGGAGGCCTTCTCTGATCCTCAGTCTTCCTGAGAACGCCTGATGAGTCTGTGGAGAGAGCCCACGAGTGGTTGCCAATTCCCCTTCTGTCTCAAGCGCCCAGCAGTTCTGACCTCTCATGCTAGTCCAACGCCTTTTGCAATTCATTAAAGTTTTAGCTGAATTCTTCTTACCAGGTTGCAAGTGCTGAGCAACTGTCCCAAATCAGCAAGCCTCTCATTGGAGGCACTTGTGTTTCCTTAGCTATCAGGGTGACTGGTGGCCAGCAACCTCAGCTCCATAATGGTTTCAAATAAACTTAGAATTTCGTAGATTATCTTTTTTTTTTTATAAGGATGGGAGCAAAGCTCTTTCCAGCTTTCTACATTCTAAGCTAAAGACAGAAGTCCTAATCACTCAGAAATAATCTCTAAAATATATTTGATATTCAATTTCAAAAAACAAAAAAGAATACATGTACTGAAGGAAGAAATAGCCACTAAAAAAATAAAATATTGGAAATATTTAGCTATCTTGGAGTAGAAAATGGCTTTCTAAAGGTGACACTGAACTCAAACTATAAAGAAAAAACAGACTGTATAAAAAGTTACCTTACGACAAAAATCAAAACAAAAAGGCAAATGACAGACGAGAAATACTGATTGCAATACATATGACAAAGTAAATGTTAACAATTTTAATATCTAACAGTTTTTGACAGGCTATTTAGTCTATTTTCTGTCTCCTCAATTTACCTCAAATTCTTTCCCCTCCTAATTTCACGTGAGAAGAATCATACTACATGGAATTGTGGTATTAGATAATGAAGAGACTGTGAACGCATTTCTCTTAAAATCCATTTACCCTTTGTCACAGTCCTCAAAGTACTCTTTGCCTATATCTATGTTTTCGTTAGAGCACGCAGAGGAGAAACGCAGCAGCGCCTACTGACTTCACAGTACCCTGCACACGCTAACCACCTTGACCCTCGGGTCACTACCCACACACACAGCTGAGGATGCTCAGGCTGGGAGACAGTAAGTCCTGTCTTGCTCTCCAGTCTGTTACAAGACAATCTAGTCAACCTTGTCCTAATTATGCCCTTGAGAAATAACTGTGCAAAAAAGCCTAGGAAAAATTTAAAACTGGGAACACCAATTGGAGGGCCCTTGTGTGGACAGTGGAGCAGGCTGATCAAGCAGAATGGACGAAACACCCAGAATAAAAGAGAAACACAAGTCTAGGTGTAGGTCTCACTCCAAGACGACAATCAAGGAGATGAGGCAATATTCACCGTCAAGGGATTCCTACTACTACGACTTTAACTCCTATTTTAGCAAAACTATTCTAATTATGAACTCTGAAAAATTGAAAATGATTTTCAGGATTATTTGAGCAAGAGAGGAAAAGCTGGAAACGGGACCACTCAGTCATTCTGGAAAGAAAGAAATTTAAAGGAAAGAAATCAGGTGATGCCCCTCAGCTCCTGTGCCCAGTCAAGAGACAGAGCGACACACCCAGGGCCTTGGCAGGGCAGCAAAACGTTAACGGGGCACTAGTTCTGAGCATGGAATTTCTGTTAATTTTTCACCTTTCAGGAAGACCAGTTTTCTACATCCTTTTTATAAAATTAACAAGTTTCCTCACAGAGTGTTATTAAGAAAAAAACTATTAACAGATTTAAAAATGAAACCCTAAGCATCCCATGAATGATCCATACGATTTAGTGTGCTGTTTGCCTGTGTGAAGAATTTCATCACTGCTCGTTTTTCTTTGACCTACTTATTTAACACAAAACAAAAGAAAGCAACAAAAAAAACCTTTTGGTAAACATGAAGGCCTTTTTCTCTAATTTAATCCATACCTTCAACTGAACTGGGAATTTTCTACAGTCTGTCTGTGAATCAACAGCGGTGGACAATGGTGAGGCAGCTTCGAGTCTATCACGGCTCTGAAGTTTGAAGTCCGAGACCTCAGAGACTGCATCCTTTAAGTTAAGCGGTGTGTGCCGTCTCTGCTTTGCTGACTCATCAACAACTGAATGAGAGTGGTCTTTGGATGGCAAGGAAGACCCAGAAGGCACTAAACTCAAACGAGGGTCCTGCTGTCGGCTCATGTGACCCTGCTGTCGGCTCGTGTGAACTTGCTGTCCGCAGGTGTGAACCTGCTGTCCGCCCGTGTGAACCTGCTGTCTGCTGATGTGAACCTGCTGTCTGCTGATGTGAACCTGCTGCCCACCTGTGTGAACCTGCTGTCTGCTGATGTGAACCTGCTGTCCGCCCGTGTGAACCTGCTGTCCGCCCGTGTGAACCTGCTGTCCACCCGTGTGAACCTGCTGTCTGCCCGTGTGAACCTGCTGTCCGCCCGTGTGAACCTGCTGTCCGCCCGTGTGAACCTGCTGTCCGCCCGTGTGAACCTGCTGTCCACCCGTGTGAACCTGCTCTCTGCTGATGTGAACCTGCTCTCTGCTGATGTGAACCTGCTGCCCACCTGTGTGAACCTGCTGTCTGCTGATGTGAACCTGCTGTCCGCCCGTGTGAACCTGCTGTCTGCTGATGTGAACCTGCTGTCCACCCGTGTGAACCTGCTGCCCGCCCGTGTGAACCTGCTGTCCGCCCGTGAGAACCTGCTGTCCGCCTGTGAGAACCTGCTGCCCGCCCGTGTGAACCTGCTGTCCGCCCGTGAGAACCTGCTGTCCGCCCGTGAGAACCTGCTGTCCGCTAGTGTGACCCTGCTGTCCGCTCGTGTGACCCTGCTGTCTGCCCGTGTGAACCTGCTGCCCGCCTGTGTGAACCTGCTGCCCGCTCGTGTTAACAGTCCCTGGGTCAACCATATCACTGGAGTCTCCTTTATCATTTACAGTGTTTTCCTCCTCACTTGAATCATCTAGTAAAATAATTCTGGATAATTTCTTTTTTGAACGTGCAAGATTTTGTGTCATGTTCATTTGTTTTAGCTTTACTGCATGTCGGGTTTTATATTTCTTACTCCCGCTTGCAAAGGAATCTTCAGCTACTACGTCAGAATCAACACACGCTTCTTCTTCACTTGACTGGCTTGTGCCAGACTCCTCTTCATCAACACAAAAACTGTCTTCTAAATAGTTTTCATCCTGCTCAGGGATCTACAGTAAAAACACAAATAAGAGCAGCATAAATGTCTCTCATAAAATCAGCATGTATTCTTTTACATGTATGAGGTATCTATGAATATTTATTTCACTTACTTTATTAATTCAGTCATTTGTTCAACTAACATATATTGAGTATATTCTTTATGGAAGAAAATGGGGAGTTTGGGAATAAAAAAAGAGTGCTTCACCTTCTAGAAATTTACAGTCTAGTGCAGGTAGCCAGAAAAACGAACAGTAATTTATAAACAATGTGGTAAGTGGTATATAATAAACACAATGGAAGTGCAGAGATACAAACGAACATATTATCAAGCTGCACATGGCAACTTATAAACAAATAAGACTAATATGAAAATGTTATCCACAAGTGAAAAATAATCTGTAATTCTTAGAATATAACGTTTTTATGGGAAAAAAAAAACTTTCAAGAGAAATAGGATAACATATAGGAATTAAAAATTTAAATACTGGGGACAGCACGGTGGTGCAGTGGTTAGGTTCACACTCTGATTCCTCAGCCTGGGTTCCCAGTTCAGATCCCAGTTGCGAACCTATGCACTGCCTATCAAGCCATGCTGTGGCAGGCGTCCCACATATAGAGTAGAGGAAGATGGGCACAGATGTTAGCTCAGGGCCAATCTTCCTCAGCAAAAAGAAGAGGATTGGTGGCAGATGTTAGCTTGGGCCCAATCTTCCTCAAAAAAGAAAGAACGATTGAAATAGTAGATGGTGAAGTTCTATTCACTTCCCTTAAACATTGTAATTGGAAAACAATTAAATAGTATATTCTAATTAGCTCAAATTAAAGAAAGGATAATGTGATCAAATTAGGACTAAAAGGAATTTTGAGAGTTTATTGAGTCCACCTTCCTTACTCAGGGCAGAAATTATCCCAAATAGCTCTGATAGTCCAGTTTTTAGAAACAAGATGGCTTCATGAACAGGTACATATTTCAACATCACCATCAGGAATTCTCCACTCTGTCTCTAGTTCATACCTGTGAGAAAATGTTTGCATTGTTATGTTTCTTATGGACCATTGTGTACCGATTTCTCATCAATGGGCTGCGCAAAGATTTCATGTAAATAGCTCTCATTTCAGAATCTGTGTAAAGATAACAAAAATTTCAAGTAGCAAAATTATTTAAATGAAAACTAGCAAAGCATTTAACTTTGACCTATTTCAATTTCACATGATTCAAACCTTGTGGAATTATTTCACACAAAAGATATTTAATATATTGAAACATGTCTAAAAACAATTATTCAAAAATGCCAAGTTAGGAATTTTGCCTTTGAAACCAGAGCATCTGGCTGGGTGAGTGTGGACAATGTACTTCAGCTCTTGCAGCTAGTCTTTGAGAGCCCTGGCCCTCCCTCTCCTCTTTATGGAAAATAAATGGATATGGACAAGGACCTTAGGACTGTAGTGATTTATAGAAAGTATTCAATAAAACACAAGAAATCCAGGCAAAAAAGAAAACATATGCTTAAAAACATCAAAAGTCACAGCCAAGAATAAGTGTCATAATTTTAAGTCACGCAAAAACTGAGAAACACACAGGTTTTATATATGCCTATCTTTTTTTTTTTAAGGTTATGATCAGAAAGCAACTTAATTTTTGTCTTCCATTTTCCCCTACTTCTTTTTCTGCGTGATTAAATTAACTTAGGTTATTTTGGGGGGTTAACATTGCTAATTTAATGACTGTACTGCTTGGGACAAGATGTATAACTTTTTCTTCAAACAGTATTTCCCTTACCCCCACTCCACAGCCACCTTCACCTGTTAGATATCCTCCCGGCCTAACGACCGCTTCCTACTCGTGCTAAATCCTACAAGCTCAGTGAGACCCTTACTTCCAGGTGACTGTGTAGAAGGACCCAGAATCAAGGGGCTCTCAAAGCTTTTTTGGCCACTAACACAGCTTTCTCAAGAACCTTACATGGCACCAGGCACACGGCGGGCACTACCTGTCAGGGGAACATGTGACACTGAGCCAGCCAGGTGGTTCTGGAGAGAAACAATCAAATGAGCAGAAGCTTAAAACAACCAAGTCTAAAATAAAGCACATCTTACAGAATTTCGATGAAAATGACCAAATATTTCACACATACCAAATTTAATTCCCTTTAAAGTCAAAGTTCTTTGAAAATTGACTAAAATATTTAAATTTAAGCACATTAAAAGCATTGAAAATTAAATGAAAATTATATTATTATTATAAATTATATTATTTACCATTTATAGCCTGTGAAAGTTGAGTCTCATCATTTAAGAAGTTAAGTAAGGAAGAGTCTTGCTCATTTTCTGAGTCATCGGTTTCATCTGATGAAGCACATTCTGCATCTTCTTGGGAAAGTTCTGCTTCATCATCTATAAACTTTCTAGCTACGAGCTAAGACAAATTAGAAAGCAGAAAGTCACCTTTAAGAAAATCACTCACTTTCCTTAAACAATTGGAAATCATTCTGGAAAATAAATTTCCTGCAAATGCTTTTAAGATGAGAAATAACAAAAATAGAAAACTGCAAGAAGAAATGATAAAGTAGCACACCTATTTAAAATCTCTTGTGAGAACTGTGTTACAAGTAAAATACAGCACAAGGCAGCAGTCAGCTGGCTGAAGGCTTCTTAATGAGCACGAAGTCTCCTGAGTCTTCCAGCTAATGAACTTTTGCCAGAAAAAATACCACACCACAAAAGGACTGAGCAGCACCAAAAGGTGCTGAGAATTCTTTTCCAAGGATTTGAATATTGGACAGAGATAAGAAAAACAACATGACTGTAAAAGCAAATATTCTAAAATTCAGACTTTTGTCTCTATATTTTCTTCAATTTGACTCAAATTCTCAATACACTAAAGTTTCTTCATTTAGTCATTCAACATAACACAACACTGCAAGATACATAGTTTCAAAACACAAAGAAACAAAAGTACCACACCCTTGAGATTTTAATTCCAGTAAAAAAAGAAAAATTAGGTTCAAAATATTTTTTAATTTTGGATTTTTTCTATAAAGAAATTATATAGAGAAATCTACTGCTATGTAAAATCTAACATTCTTTATTAACAAAAAAATATATATAGTATATATTTATAAAAATAAGAAACTAAAAGAAGTTTACCTTCAGGTGACCCTGTCTCTTGAGAACTCCAATGGCCCCTTTGGCACTCTTCGGATGAGCCTTGAAGTCATCTGACTGTGGGTGTCGTCTCTGAAAATTCTCACTCTCATCACTCGATGATAATTCTAACTGTAATAATTCAATAAAATTCTTGCATAAGAAGACATAATTGGATTATTGTATCTTAATGTGTACTTCAAGGGTTGTTGTTGTTATTTTCATTTTTCAGTTTTAAATAGATGGCTTAACATTTTCATGTTAGAAAAATAAAATGCTCTCACGATTTAGAACCATGTTACAAATACATAATATTTAATAATTTAAAAGTTAAGTAATACTAAACACTAAAATACTAAATTAGGTAATAAAAGTACTAATAGTATATATTCATTCGATTTAGTATTACATCAAATGTGTTTGATGAAAACTTGTATTTTTAGTTTAACTGTTTGGGAAATCCTGAAGGGCTTCACAAAAAGTAATTACGTCTGTAAATACAGCTGTCAAAATCAGTCCAAATATACAGGAGTCCTCTCAAACCAAGAAACCGATATAACAATGACAGATTTTGACTGTGAGGCCGACCACTATATCTCTTACAGAATAATATGAAACCAACCAAAAGAAGTTTATCAAAATAACTTCAGTTACAGGAGCGACGCCAGCTTAGGGCAGATCATCAATTTCCATCACTTCTGATGAGTCAGTCAGACATTCTAGTCACGGCAGCAAGTTGAAGCAATTTTCCTAGTGAAGTTTTATATGAGCATATGAAGTTAACATGGACTGACTGCATTCTTAATTCTTAATTAATTTCACACAAATTATCCTGATTGTATTAGAGAATTAAAACACACAAGATTTCTTAATCTCAAAATTTAGTTATCACCTATAAGCTGATGACAAATGAATATCATTACGTTAAGATCTGCCCCTACCCGCACTTCAGATTCACACGGTCATCGACGCCTGCCGGACACTGTCACTTGACTGTCCCACAAGAACCTCAAACACTTTCAACACTGAACTTATCACTCTTTCTTGTCTTCTCTAAATTTGTGACACAGATGCCAAAAAGTCCAACTCAAAACCAGAGTCATCTTGGACTCCTTCCTTTCCTTCTTTCAAACTCATTCAGTAAGCAAATGGAAGAAGAAGGCCTTCCAAAAACTGGCCTGGACTTTTTCCAATTTTACTTCCTGGCATTCTTTGTCTTTACAATCCAACAATAAAGAGATGCTGTTTCCCCGCTTTGTGTCATCTTTTAGCTGTTCACTGTTGGCAATGCCTCACCCTCTCCCTTCTCCTGCCTAACCACCACACATGCTTTAAGATGTAACCAAGGCGTCACCTTCGAGAAGACTCAAGGTCTAGGTCCCAAGGCCTAGGCTAAGGGCTTACCTTCTCTTCTCACTTATATTGAAAGTATCTGTTTACTTCTCCATCTCTCCTCAGATAGTAGGTGACGTAAGACAGTACCAGGATAGGATCTTGACAGTATCCCCAGCATATTACACAATAGATACAGAATAGGTATTTAATGAGCATTTGCTGAATTGCTGAAGTGTACTGACAAAAGTAGGGATAAATTTTAAAAGGAGTATAAAATTAAAATAGAAATTCCAATACACAGGATTTACCACCTATTTTTGTGTTAACCATACTCCTGTGAGATCAATATCTACATTCATCTATACACCTATTTTCCCTATAATATTTATTCCAAATGAATTTTAATTACTCTACATTATCTGCTATGTACTTACTCTGTTTGGAGGAGCCCTGCGCTTTCTGACAGCATGAAGTGGTGAATCGACTTCACTACTCCTCTGATCCTAGATGAAGTAGATAAATAAAGTAAAAGGTAAAAAAAAAAAGAAAGACAAGACTGAAGGGGAAAAAAGCCTTTTATGATCACGTTATTGTGATTACGGAATGACTCACCTCAGGGGATTCTAAAACATTTCCTTTTGTTTTTCTACTTTTTCTTTGGAAAATCTCATCATCTTCACTTTCATTGCTTGGTAATTGTTCATCTATAATTTATTTAAAAATAATGAATCTGGTCAATAGATTTAAGTTTATCCAACCACAAGTACCTATTTTATTGATGGGTACAATAAGAATTGTTTCTGGCAATCTCAACATTTACTAACTTTAAAAAGAGAGAGTTTTCAGAAGTTTGGTCAAAAAGAAAATCAGCAAAATAAATCATAAAAATAAAAATACCAGTGAGGAATTTAAGAGATGATAACTTCTGCTATAAACACATATTTAATTCAGGTTCAGTTTTACAAATTAACTTTCAGAGCCCAGAAGAGTGCAAAATGTAATTTTATTAGTCAATGGTTCTAGAATTCACCTCTAAAATCTACTAGTCTTTCTGCCTTTGTGTCTTATTTCTTTCTAGTTGAAGTTTAAAGAATGAAAATGCAGGTTACAAAACAATATATGAAAAGATTTTTTATGTATGTATGTACATATGTGTACATATACATGTGCGTTTGTGCACAGGAGGCATGAGATAAAAATTGGTAAGATATTCACCAAAATGTTGTAACTAGAACACTTTCAGCGGGCGGAAAGAAGGCTAAAAACAAAACTCTCATGTATGAAATCAAATGCTTCAGATTTTCAGGTACTTAAAGCTCTATTTCTGCACTTTTATAAAGCTTTGGTTGAAGACACCTTTTTGTGTCTTTACAAAACCTTCTGTAAGAGCTTGCGGTTGTTATGTTCATAAGTTCTTTGATATGCCTCTCTTTAAGAGGTGGGATCATAATTCCTCTCCCCTTGAGCCTGCACCGGACTAGGTCATTCGATTCTAACAGAAGAACATAACGGAAGGAAAGGTGTGTGACTTCAGAGTCTAGGCCACAAAAGGCATTGCAGCTCACCCCTGCTCTGCCTCTTACGTACGACACTCACTCTGGAGGAAGCCGGATACTGTACTGTAAGGATGCAAGAAGCAACCCTACAGGGAGACACATGAGGCAAGAAACTGAGGCCTCCTACCAACGGCAGTGGGATCCTCCAAGTTTATTCAAGCCTTCAGGTAAATCCAGCCCTGGCCAACGTCTTCACTGCGACCTCATGAAATACCCTGAGCCAGAACCACTCAGCTAAGCCACTCTCGAATGCCTGGCCCACAGGAACCGTGAAATAATACATGTTTGTTTTAAGCCATTAAGTTTTGGAGGTAATTTGTTATCCAGCAATAGATAAATAACACAGATTTTGGTACCTGGAAATAGGGAACTGCCAGACCAAAAACCTAAACTGTGGAAGTAGCTTTAGAACTAGAGAGTGGGCAGAAGGTGAAAGGAGTTTAGAGGAGGGTTTTAGTGAAAGCTTGAAGAGCTTCAGAGAAGTGTTTGTAGAAAGATTAATGGCCATTGAGGAGGCTATGGGTGAGGGCTTAAAGAAAGTAGGGAAAATCTTCCTGGATATTGGAGGAAAGAGAATCCTTTCGGTAGTGTCAGAAAGTTTACAACACTGCAGTAATATGAAAAGTAGAAAACGTACCTAATGAATGAGGTAATCTAGGTGAGGAGATTTCCAGACAAAATGTTTAAGATATTACCTGTGCTTCTTGCTGTTAAAGCAAAATGCAAGAGGAGAGAGAGAAACTAAAGAAAGGACTATTAAACATGAAACAGTTGAGACTTGCTGGTGTTGAAAATTCCCAGCCTCTCCAGGTAATAAACAACGCTAAACTAAGAAATCTGCCAAGCAGATCCTAATCTAGAGGACTTCCAGGAAAATATTGTCTAAAGACGAAGCTGAGGGTGCAACTGTAAATGCTTTAAGACCTCAGAAAGATCAAAGATGGTGCCTCAGAGTACCATTCAGTTAATAAAAGGCCCTCTAAATATTTTAAAGATGTCTCTCACAGATCCTCTCCACAACAGGCCTTCCAAAAAGATTAAGGAATTATCTCTAGACATCTCAGCAGAAGCCCAAGGTAGAGAAGGACTTACCTCCAAAAGATTTGTGGGCATGGCTAGTGTCTAATGGAATGAACCCCAATAAGAAGATTCACAAGAGATCTACAAAAATTTATGAGAATTACATGGGAAGAAACACAGCCAGCTACAACTGAAAGGGTCAGAGACCCTACAAACTGAAAAGAGGACTTTCAATCCCCAAATTTTAACTAAAAGGAAGCAGGCTGAGAAAACTGCACAGCTGCTACTTGTTACGAAAAAGGACCAAGCACCAGAGGACTAATCTAAGAACCATGGGCAATTATTCCCAGGCTTTGAGATCTAACCAAAGAACTTCCAATCCCAGCTCTTCTGGATTTCAGAATTGCTGTGGACCAGTGATTCCTCTGTGCCTCCCATCACCCCCCTTTTGAACAAGTCATCTTAGAAGCATCCACACCCAGTCAAGTCTTCAGGTGACTGCAACCCAGGTCAAATGTCACTATAATCTCAGGAAAAATCCTAAGCCAGAACCACCCAGTTAAGCAGCTCTCAAATTCCTGAACTACAGAAACTGTGAGGTAAATGTCTTTTATCATAAGCCACTAAGTTTTGGGGAGTAATCTGTTACACAGCAATAAATAACTAATGCAAACTCACACAGTGAATGTCTCCTCACAGTCTGTGCCAATAAAACATCTACCCAGACAAACTCAAATAATTCCTTTCTGCAGACGAACACTGTATAATCCAACTAGCTTTGCGTTTTTCATTACCTTCTGCTGAAGCCAGAGGTAAACAAAGGGCTCAGCTAAAGTAACCAATGCTAGGAGGCTTTCTTTTTAACTGCCTTAGTGGTGTTTTCAGGAACCATTTTTGTACACATATGATGTGGCAAATGATCTTAAATCTTCCCTTTCAATAATAAATTGTAACAAATAATTCCTTTATATATGTGTTCATAATTATGTTGCCCATGGTTAGCAGTTAAGTATAATACTAGAAAAAATGTTTTAATGCAAATCTGACACAAAGACAGAAAACTGATCTCACCCATTAACGTGGACTTAACAGAAGTGTTGCCAAATACTGAAGGCTCAAAAGCAACATACACCCAGTGAAAATACATATGTCAGGGCACATCCAAAACTACGCAGAGCAGTCAGTTTCCGAAAATTAAACATACTTCCAGAACTTATTTAAACAAGGTTCCACCTTAAATAAAACATTCATGAATCATGTCCAACGCTAATGAGAATAGCATGATGAGAAAAAGATTTACAGAGGAAACTCGTTTTATCCTACAACTACTCGTTTTCCTGAATGATAAGGAGTAAAATCATCAATGGCCTCCTATAATAATCTACACATAAACTAGAGTTGAGAGTTCTATAACAGGATTTAAAGGACACTTAATCACTTTAGTACCAAATATCTTCACTATATTTCTTTAGTTTTTCTTTAACTGTAGAATTACATCACAGAAATCCAGAGATTCCTCTGGATCTTCTAAGATCTTGTCTCAATCCTCCAAATACAGACTTATTTCTCAACTCTTTTGCTACATAAATCCTCTACTTTAAACTGTCCCCCTCAAATCTTCCACTTTCCTTCTTTCTTTGTTTTCATCATTTTATAATATCCACATTCTCTCTTTGTTACTTTCAACATATCCAAATCATAAATATTCCTGAGGAGCCAAAATGAAAATCTACATTAAAAATCCACATTTCTAATCTAAATCAGTTCAAAATTTTATCATCTTCTGAACTTCCTAAAAATCCACTATCTTATTATTCATTTAATATTTGTTTGCCACATACTGGTATCTTTTAAAGTGTAAATGTCACACAATTGTTTGTGTTGTATGATCAAGGGCCAGATCTTACATTTCTGTATTTCCCAGTGTCCAGCATAAACCTTCCCCATGCCATGCATGTCATAAACACACATAGATAAAATAAACCTTTCATCAGTAAGCACCAATTTTAGAAATATATAATACATCAATTATCTAATTCAATACACTATATACTGAGAAATTACATTTCGAAAAACTACGGAAGTTTATCTAGAGTAATTATTCTAGAAAGATTTGTGTTTTATAAAGATGGAATCTTACCTCCAGCAGAATGACAGGACTGATGCAGATTGATTTGCCTCCTGCTTTTAGACTTTTCTATAGAAAGTCCTGAATCATCAAAAGTTGAATTCAACGTTTCTTTAAAACTTTGTAGATTTACTTTTTCCTTATTAGAATCTGGCGTCTTATGCATTTCCTTTCTCTTAGAAAACGAGTTCAATGTGTTTAATTTAGAAAGTGGTGTACTCATAACTTTTTCTCCCACTGGCAAAGAAAATTGAGAATAACCAGGAGACATAAATTCTTTATTCTTTGCTGCACTCAGTGGGAAATGTGCAAAATTTGGACTCTGCTTATCTTCACTTGATGTGACAGTGATGGTCCTACTCATAACACAATCAACATGATCTCTTGGTATTACTGCTTGATTTGAAACATGATTTACATCACTTCTCTCCTTAATGTCTGAACATCTTCCAGAGAGATCCTCTAGAAATCTATTCTTATTTGTATCTGATGCATGTTCCAGTATTTCATCATCAGAATCTGAACTACAAAATCCTAAATCAAAGGTAACGGAGAATAAATCCTTAGAGCAGTCAAAAACACACTCATCATTCTTCAGTTTTTCCTCACATATACCTCTCAAATCTTCATGAGATTTCCGACTGTTAGCATCACAGAGGATTGGATCTTGGGGTTCAGAATTATTGTCGAACAAAAGTGCATCAGAAATGAAGAAATGAGAGACCAGCGCCGTTTCACTTGGAGCAGTTCTGTCTGACACACACATAGACCTGTGTTTACTCTTTGACGGAGAAAGGCTCACGTCGTTAGACTCTGTATCGACATCTTCAAACAAGAGTAAACTCTCATCTTGATCAGTCGACAATACTGGGAGGCCATTGTTATCAACATTACGATTCTTTTCTTCAACAAAATACTTCGGCGGGCCTATGTTTATTTGAATATGATTGTTGGATACTAAATTTTCATTTTGAATATCTTTATGTAGTTTATTATCATAGTCACAGAAGCTTGGCTCATCAGAAATCTCAGCATTAGCTGCACCATAAAGACAACTTTTTTCAGAAGGATGATTAAGAAGGTTAAGTGAATTCGATTCTACATTCTGTTGACAAGTTACAGCTGAATGTGACATCAAACAGGTGGATTTATCATTTTGTAAATACTCCGTGTAGGGCAGGAAAAGCAAATTCTCATGTGCAGAACCCTTAGCAATTTCGTACTCCAAATTTGAGAGTCCACTGAGAGGGGGAGGAGAATGAGATAAAAATCTCTCTACATGAGCTAGCACCTCTTTTGTTACTGAGTGACAATTATAAAATTGGTCATCTGCTCCAGCTACAGAAAGCTCCTCCTCAAATGGAAGAAACAAGCCAGAGGAAGCCGATTTCTCATCACTGACACTGCTATAACCAGAATCGAGAAAGTCTCCAGCAAATGAACTAGTAGACTTATTTGTAAACTGGCACTCCATTAATAATCCACGTGGCTGATGAACAACACTTTCACTGATAGTACACGAGGCAGCAACTTCTGCATCTGATACCATCTTATCACTTAGTAGGGCTTCCTGAAAAGTATTTTCAACAGTGGAATTGCCATCGGTTTCTAAAGAATCCAAAACAACATCATCATTTCCTTTTTTAGGCTGATCTTTTTTCAGTTTTTCAGCTTTTTTCTTTAGAGAACCAATTTTAGTAGGTTTGATATGAGTTTGCTTAAAAATTTCAGCACATTCTTCATCAAATTCAGTCATTGAGAATGAATTGCCCTGATTTATCTTCTTTGTAAATGAAGATTTCTTGTTAGTAGTAAAGATGCCATTGGCAGGAATATTATATTCATTCCTGGGAACACTAAATGTTGAGTTAACGTCTTCCATTTGTAAGTAAGATTTAATTTCCAATTCATAGCTGCATTCTCCCTATAAAGAAGGAAAATGAAAAAGTCACAGGAAAAGAAAACAAAACAGAAAAGCCAAGTCTAAGAGATGAGTTTTATCTATGTTAAAATATTCTCTAAACAATATTATATTATTCAAATGATTTTCTTTTATACCTTAGAAAATTGTTCAGATAACATTATAAATGACACTAATGTGAAATTATCATAAATTATCTTTAATCAGTTAATATTTTTGTAACCCCAGTACTTAATACTTGGAAGATCCACAATAACTATTTGTAGAGAAAACAAACTTAAATGAATACATAAAATAATAAATACTGGTTTTTACTTCTAACACTTAATTGACCAATTATTCTATTTTCCTAAAAATGCATATATATTAATGAAAAACACACATACACATGTTAAATTTCCTCTCTTGATGAGGGTAAACTAGGCACAGCCTTTAGAACCTCTGAAACTCCAGCACCTGTATGTCTACTAGGGTGTAGGCTGGAATATACTATTTTTAACAAATTTCCCAACCAAGAACTCTTGCAGTGAATTTCTAAGTTTTACTTATCTCTGAATAGAAAACTGCAGTCCCCACCACCCCTACTCATCCCTCCCTCTTGCCCACAAAGGCTACTTTAGTGAGGATTCCTCCACTACCCAGGGACGTAAGCAGTGAATTCTCGCTTTTTTGACTAATGAGTATAATAAATACTAATGTGAGAACGTCTGTCTCCCTGTTAGTATATATGCTTCCCCGCAGAGAATATTTCATATGGCTTCTTTGCTGAGGTAGCCACAGGGCCTGGTGCAGAGCTTGGCATATAGAGGGCATAAAGAAATACATCTCAATTGGAAGGCACACATTGTGCTGGGGTCCACAATGGTTTACTTTACTTACATGTATTCACAAACAATAGCTAACAATAAAGTAGCGGCTACAATCTATTCAGTACAGTCATCCCTCAGTATGTGCACGGATTAGCTCCAGGACACCCCTCAGATACCCAAATCCACGGATGCTCAATCCCTTAGCCAGCACTCCCTACCCGAGAACAGAGGGCAACTGTACTCACTGTGTGCCAGGTACTATTCTAAGTGCTTTACACGTAGTAAGTTATTTAATCCTCACAATAACCCTGTGAAGCAGGTATTAGCATTATCCCCATTTTACAGATGAAACCGAGGCACAAAGAGGTTAAGTAACTTACAGAGGCATGATTAATAAGAGGTAGAGTTGGGATTCTAACCCAGGAATTCTGCATTTTACACTCAAACTAAGTTCATCATTCTGACTCTCTCAAGGAAGAATAATCAAGAACCTGCTCAAGGAATCAATAGTTCTCTAAACTACCACCAGGATACAAGAGCTACCAAATGACCTATGGCTAGAGAATATTTCAATAAATCCCAATAAACAAGAATCCTAAATTAGCTTTACAAACAGTTTATATACATCATTAAGCATACTAAAATTTTTCTCTGGTCTATCAATATTTACAGATGATATTGTTCTAATTAAGTCTACTTCTCCTATGGTGGAAAACTAGTTCCTTATTGAGGTCACAAGGAGCTACATAGAAAAGCAAAATATTCTAGCTATAATTATTTATAATAAAGACTTGTTTCCTATAATACTGACTTCAAATTAAGAAGAATAACAAGTATTCTAGTTTCACCATCATCCCAGCAAGAGAAAGTCACAACAGAACCCTACCTCTTCGTGTCTCATGCCTTCTATCATTTGCATAATGCTTATGAAATGGTGGCATCGATCCGAATGGCCAACTCGATGCGTAGGAAGAGGATGATCCTGCCACAGCCTCCATTCAGAGAGAGAGAGCTGACGAATTCCAGCAGTGGTTTCTTGAGTCTTGATCAATGATTTTAAAAACAATAAAAATGATAAAAACACACATACTCGGATTTCACAAACTGATTTAAAAAAACACGTAATATACAGATGACCAGCCTGACATAGACAAACTGAGTTCATTTAGCCACTTTCAACTAAAGTCTCAGGAGAAAAAAAGACACTAATTTCATAAAGTACAGAGATGCCCTTTTAAATACTTCTCCTATAACTTAAGAAATACTTAAGAAAATGTGTGGTTTCAGAACTACTATTTTGCTAGATTTATATCCAATAACCTAATAAGGAGGCATTCCTAAGCTGTCAGTGCTACTGATCCCAACTCTTCCAGCCTTCTGCCATTCTTCACCGTCATTGGTGGTGAATAAAATACAAATCCTGAATGGCCTTGGATTTCAAGACCTATAAATCTTCTAAAAGGAACCTTTCCTGAGGTGGTTTTTCCAGCTCTCTAGGCACAATGTCACCTTTGATCAATTCTCTTCATTTCCATTAAGTTCACCAATAATTGGTTCATAATAAAATAAACAATAACATCCAATTTAAAGTTTTGCTATAATTTCAAAACAAAAACTAAAAACTAGTTTTGTACAAAGATGCTCATGACAGCATAATTTATGTTGTAATATTTTGAAAATAATCCCAGGACACACCAGGGAAACAGCTAAACAAACAGTGGTACATTGCAGAGTAAGCAGCCAGCCATGTAGACAACACCCATACAGAAACGTTCACGTGGTAGAAAGTAAGGAAGCAATGGCAGAATTTAAATGTATTACAATCATGTCAAAATATTTTATAAAGAATAGAAGAAAATTAGTAGTTTTAGAAAATGAGACTAATATTCTTTTTAAACTTGCTTATACTCAATTTTTTAAGTAAGTCGACATTCTGATGGTGAACATTCTCTCTACTCGCCAAGCTACTGCATAATCACTATAAAGAGCATCTGAAAACAGTTCAACTCACTGGTCTGTCTTTCTCATTTTGTAAAGAGAGAAACCGAACCCGAGGCAATGTTACTTCCTTAATTCCATCACTGTCTTTTAATCTATAAAGTCTGGTCCATAATTTAAATTCTTCTTCTGATAAAAACCAATCTTTCTTTGAATTAGTTTGCTTCATTCCTATAAGTTGAAAAAATAATTGAAGAGAGGTTAAAAAAAATCTGCAAGGCAAACAAAATATACATCCACTCAAACTTTCCCCCCGTTTGTCTACTCCTCATGAGAATCACTCCGACATCACTCCCGGCTCACACCTCTCCTCACCTCCTCCGCCCTCTGACGGTGCGGGTGCTCCCGTCCAGGCGCTCACACCTCTCCTCACCTCCTCTGCCTTCTGACAGTGCTGGTGACACCCCAGTCTGGGCGCTAACCTTCGGTAATGACCTAACAGAACATAGCCAGGTAGCTGGGTTCTCAGTCCTGGCTTCATTCTGTTCTCTCTCCACTTTGCTGTCTAAGCCCTGGCACAAAACAGCCAGACAACTTAAAAATGACAACTAGTACCATGATTCTCTCCTAACAGTATTGGAAGGTCAACTGAAGCTTAGGGAGGAGTGCGGGAGAGACACCAAGACTAAAGATGGTTTTCAGCTTAAGTCTCAAATGGAGGGTGGGGTGGGTGAAGGGGGCTGGAAAGGACCTACTGCTTTAAAAAATAATAGACTTTAAAAAAATCTACAGTAAATTAACCCTGTTTGACTTCCATATCTCTATAAAGGGAAATAATCACCAAACTGGAAAGGATACACAGCATAAAGCATGAACTCTGGTCCAATACAGACAAGGGAGGAAACAAATCAGAAAGACTGAATTAGGAATCAGGAAACTTCTGTCTCCGCTATTCCTGACAAATAGAAATGGCAAGCAATAGGATATATTGGAGTATATGAGGAAGCCATTTGGCGTAAACCTAATTCGGCCTGACCGTTGTTTTCCAAAAGGGCATCGAGCACGCATTGTATATCTGCGTTAAACACTTACTGTGGCAAGAACAAATGGCCTTAAGATAAAGGTGCATGTCCTTAAGGATAAGCATCTTTCCTTAGGCTAGGAACCGATTGCTGTGCTCACCTGTGACCACTCAGCTCACCTGTGACCACCCAGCTCAAGACAACAGACCTGCCACCCTGCTGTGTCCATAATCACTGTGCAGACAGAGCAGTCTCTCGCAGTCTCACGACTATTGTAAACGGGACATTTCAATCCTATGTGAAACATCCTCTTTGGGCATATATAGCCATTATGTACACCCCACTTCTTTGGTGCCCTTTCTTCCCTTTGGGAAGAAAGGCCCCAGGCCATGGTCCTCACATTTTAGCTCAGAATAAACTCTCCCAAATTTTCATTTATAGATTGGTTATGGATTATTTTTGCTGACATTCCCAAACACTGCAGAAGCAGCTTTTGTAAAATAAGGAGTTTGAACTCAGTGATCTCACAGGTCCCTTTTAGTTCTAACAATCTGAGGCTCTAAGACTTTCGAAATAGGAAAGTATTCCACTCTCCCAGTCACTTTCAATACACTCAGGCCGCTAAGCCCAGATGAGCTGCACACGACTGTACAGAAGACGTTTACACACACAGTCTCAGCAAGACGAATCACTGACAGTGAAACATCAGGGAGAAAGATGCAGAAAAACGAACATGAGCTAATATTATCTCAACTTCTAAAAAAGGGCAGATTCTAGAACTTTACAAACGAAATTTGCCATCTATCCCTAGTAACATTTTAGAAATAATTAATAAACATATAGCTAATTAACATCTATAAAAATACAATGACCACTAAGAATAAGTTATGCCAACATAATCAAGTTTTGATGTTATTATTAGTTTAATAAATTCAAGAGAACTCAAAATACATACTTTGTCTTTATTTTAACCAAAAATTTGGCAAAGTCTTATAAAATGACAAATATATTCCTATTAAGTGGATACAGGAATATCCAAAAAAGCAGGAATTAACGGCTCCGAGTGAAGGAAAAGAACATTTACAAATTCAAGTGAGTCCAAAGCAGGTGACTAGCAGGGAGAGGACCCTGGAACTTCAGAGGATGACAACCATGGAACAAAGAGCTGAACAAACCTGAGACGCCCTGTCTTCAAACATAACCAGAACTGCTACATCGGTAAAGCATGGATCTAAACCATTCTTTGTATACGAAGACAAAACTACATCAATGAGAAAAAGGTACAAAGACAGATGTGTCAACTTAAGGACCTCTTCTGTATGGGGCTGTTCAACAACGGAATGAACCCTCCTAAAGGAATATAATTCCACAGCAGCAGGGATGTTCCAGCCGAGGCTGGACAAGCGTTCAACGAGAATGCTGCGGAAAGCACTCCCACCAGGAGAGGTTGCTGCACCAGACGAGCCCCAAGGTTCCTTCCAAATCTTAAAGTAGAACTACATGATTTTATGATACTCTAAAAGCCCTCCTGAAAGGCTAAGTAAAATTCAAAAGCTAAACTTTTTAGTTTCTCATTTTCAAAGTGCTAACATTTCAAGATATTTTGAGACCACCAAAATCCCTGCAGCCCTTAAATCAGCACTCATTACTCATCGCGCTCCCCAGCACCAAAGCGTTTGCTTCTCTCTGACTCAGAATCACCAATAACTTGGTCTAACTTTGCCACTATTTGGTGTAAGAGTAAATGAAAAAAAAAAAAAAGAATTTTCTCCTTTACAGAAAGAGAAAGAGACCGTTCTCCTTCCCTTTCTTAGAGCGATTCCACAGTCAATGTTTATGAATACTTCCTTTAACCCTTTGATATGTAAGCAAATCTCTGAAGGCTAAGCAAGCCTCTAGCCCACTTCTCAACCAGAAATGTTTTTCCTAAGGGTCTGGGAGCTGTCTCTTTGAGATGTAAACATCCAGGAAGACAGTGTCCCTCTCTCGTGTGCCTCTCTCTCCTGGTCACCAGAGGAGTTAGGCCCAGGCTCCCTTCTTGAAGCTGTCACTATCCGCTTGTCATAGAGATAAGAGAAGTTTTATTATTTCTCTGGATAAAGGCAACTAGCTAACACACATGGCTGCCTCATTTATCAGGTGGATGTGGGATGAACTAGGGAAGGACGGAAAGCAAATGGTCCTGTCGTCTTCTATAAGGACAAGTCACCGTTAATCTTGAGAACACGCAAGTAAAGGACTGTACCTGCCTGAGGGGGGACAGGGTGGAATTTCTTCCTGTCTTTGTATTATCCTGGTGGACAGCCTACAATGCACATTGTCAACTGCTTTAATGTTTATTCAATAATAAAACTGTTTTCTTTCTTTTCTACATTTTGTAAAGAGGCTTCTCTGGCTTGGTAGGAAGTTTTTAATTTTCTCAACACTGAGTTTCTATCACTCTATACCTCCAGTGTCTGCTTCCCTTTACCATGTGAATAATCTCTTACCCTTTCCAAGGAGAACACCCGTGACATCCTAGAATACACGCTGAGTTGCTCAAAGAAGTAATATATCAATATATGGCCTGTTAACTAACAACGGGGGAAAAAAACACATGTCTCAAATGTAAAATTTTTTGTTTACCATTCCTACAGTAAAAGACAGATGCCTCTCGCGGCAAGTTTCGAGAACGCTTCTCCGGTTGATAGACACTCTGCGTGATGAACATTTTATGTAATTCTGGATTGACTCCATCAGGAACCATTCGTGGACTTCCTTGATAAAAATGAAGGACCTGCCTGTTACTCGAAATAGCTTTATAAATACTTCTTTTGTTGGACTGACTTTGATTATAAGTCTGCAAAAACAAATAAATGTCAAATTACATTATTTCTATAATAATCACTTAGCCATAACAAGCAATTATTACCTAATTTGGGTTTATTCTAAACAGTAAATTAAACCTTGATCCACTTAAATACTTAAGAGAATAGAATTTCTGCTGTCTTGAATTTTAAGCCAGGTCAGTTAACTCTTATTTTTTTTGCTGAGGAAGATATGCCCTGAGCTAACGTCTGTTGCCAATCTTCCTCTTTTTTTGTACGTGAGCAGCTTTCACAGCACAGCCACTGATGAGTGGTGTAGGTCCGTGCCCAGGATCCAAACCTGAGCCACTGAAGCAGAGCAGAAGCCAAACTTAAGCACTAGGCACTGGGGCTGGCCCTCAACAAACTCTTGATAAAAATCACTTAAAAATCTATTATTCTAAAAGCCTGCCTTAGTAATTACATTGCACAAAGGAAATCTGTCTTTTATTTAGTGTCTTGCTGTTTTTGAATAAGGCTGACATTTATATATATGTATAAATTGTTTTTGTTTTTGTTTTTTTTTTTACTATTCCCTCATTTCAGCTTTTTCATCTCTCTACACTTCAGTTTTCTTTAGTGTAAATACAAAAAAGTACTCTTCCCCTTGCAGGGCTGTTGACAAGATGAAAGAAGACAATGCATCTGAAGCACTCAGAACACTGCCCAGCACAAAGCAGGTGCTCGTCAAATGTGGGCCACTGCGATGATTTCACAGACAAGAAAACTAACCTGAAGAGAGACACCTTGCCTAAAGTAATTAGTGAGAACCCAATACCACTCACTGATAATACATAGACTTTTACAAGCTACTAAACATTTCATTTATTGGAATCATTGTACGGAAAACTGGATGTTACATAAGAATTATAATCAGATGAAAAGTACTGGAGAAAAAGAATTCATTTTTCAGTATGATTTTTAAAGGGTATATAAAACATTTTAAATCAATTTTTTAAAACTATCATAGTTAATGAAAAATTCCTAATCTGAAACTATATATTTGGCTACAGAAATAGTCCCACTGAGTTACAAAAATTAGTTAACACTTGGGCCAGCTCCTGTGGCCCAGAGGTTAAGCTCGGCATGCTCCACTTTGGCAGCCTGCATTCAGTTCCCAGGCACAGACCTATACCACTCATCAGTGGCCATGCTGTGGCGGCGGCCCACATACAAAAAAACGAGGAACACTGGCAACAGATGTTAGCTCAGGACGAATCTTCCTCAGCAAAAAAATATTAGTTAATACTTTAGTTTAACAAACACAAAATGGTATTATGTACAACATGATATGTAGGAAGATATGTAGGAAGGCCTGTCACCCAAGATTGTAGCAAGGTACAATTCAAGTCCCTTATCACTTAGAATAGGCATCAGCAAACTTTTCCATAAAGGACCAGAAAGTAAATATTTTAGGCTTCGCAGGCTACATACTATCTCTGGCATGTGTTCTTGTTGGTCAGCTGATTGACTTAGGCAACCCTTTCAAACATAAAAAAAATTCTCAGCTTGCTGTAGTTAAAAAAACACAGAAAACTACACACAAAAAATAGGCCTTAAAAGCATAGGGAAATAGTAAAAGAATCCAGTCAAAAATTCTCCTAATTACAGGCCAGCCCAGTGGCGCAGTGGTTCAGGCCACATGTTCTGCTCCAGTGGCCCAGGGTTCACCAGTTTGGATCCCAGGGTGCGGACCTTTGCACCGCCTGTCAGGCTGTGCTATGACAGACACCCCACATATGAAGTAGAGGAAGACGGGCACAGATGTTAGCTCAGGACCAGTCTTCCTCAGCAGAAAAGAGGAAGATTGGTGGCGGATGTTAGTTCAAGGCTAATCTTCCTCAAAAAAAAAAAGAGGGCCACTCCATGGCCGAGTGGTTAAGTTTGTGCGCTCTGCTGCGGCGGCCCAGGGTTCGGATCCTGGGTGCGGACATGGCACCACTCGTCAGGCCACATTGAGGCAGCGTCCTACATCCCACAACTAGAAGGACCTGCAACTAAGATATACAACTGTGTGTGGGGGGCGCGGAGTTTGGGGAGATAAAGCAGGAAAAAAAAAAAAGATTGGCAACAGTTGTTAGCCCAGGCGCCAATCTTTAAAAAAAAAAATTCTCCTAATTACAATAGTGAGAATCTAATACAAAGGGGGAAAAACTCAACTATGATTACAACAAATTGTTTGGACTTTGAATACTGAAGATTTGTCTTTGGGCTATATTTCTCAAATTTTAATTAGCAAATCATGCTTCTCCACGTCTACTCACCCGTTCTTCCCGTCCCTCAGCAAGGATAACAACGATCCTGCCTTGGCGTCTGCGGCCGGTCCTACCCATGCGCTGTATAAGACGAATTGGGCTCTTCTGGGCATCAAAACATATTATAAGATCAACTTCTCCTATATCCAAACCTTCTTCACCAACACAAGTAGAAACCAATGTATTGTAACCACCACTACGAAACTGTTTCACTACCTAAAATAAAAATGATTTAAAAATAATTAGATGCAAATGTAAGAGAATTGCAGATTAAAGCATACTTTTCCATTCGCCCCAAAATGGTGAAATCAGATTAAAAATCAGCATCCAGAATACTATCAAATAGGAAAAGAAGTGGCAAAATAGAAATATGAGCCAAAAGAGATTGTTGTGAAATGCAAGAGGCAGTCCTAATTCCCTTGCTTTAATAATGGTTGTGATGCCAAAAGGGTTTGCTAACAATTTACACGTGAATGAGAAATCCTAGATATCATCTTTAGCATCACTAAAAAGGTCAGAGGGCAGGTAAATGGCCCAAAGCAATGACTGCTATTTATCACATCCTAGACCTAAACTTTCTGTTAGGTGTATCTAAAGTAAGAATGCCTTCGTACTCCTGGAATTCATGTCTTAGCTTTCATACTGCCATTCCAGTGAAGGGGAGCAGAATATGCTGCCCCCCAATATGACTGGAGGGCTTCAGGACATGCTGCCCCAAAATATGCTGCTTTGGTATACTGATTATTTTGAGCTGTAGGCACTTGAAAAACAGCAAATGCAGGGAGAGACTTTCTCTGAACTGTTCTTATCTGTCTAAAAACAGATCCTCCAAAAGGAATCCAATTGTCGTCAGTGCCCTCAGGGAGTCTCATCAACTGGGGAAGACTGACTCTGTCACAGGGAAGGAGTCTACAAGTCGACCCCACACCCAAACTTTGTCACAAACTATCACACCTCCCATCTATTCTTCTAAGGGTCAGTCATATTTAGTGAAAATTATTTTTCCCCCCTAAGAAGCCTATGACCCCTCTCCCCTTTCTCTATTAAGACGGTATTTAAATCTGAATTCTAGCCACCTTGGGGAGTTAATCACCGTTCCCTGGGTATCTCCCATGTACACAGGATGTCTACGTGTTAATAAATTGCCACAGGTTTTTCTCTTGTTAAGCAGTCTGTTATTACAGGGGTTTCAGGTAAGGACCCAGAAGGCTGGAAGGAAAGTTATTTTTCCTCCCCTACACCAGGATTTCTCTCTAATCAGTTTAACGAAACTACAATAGCCTGAGAATGAGTCAATGGAAAAGCCAATAAAACACTATGAAAAATTTCCTTAACCCTTACAAAGTTAGTTCTCAACCGCCCTGAGCCTGTTTCTCCATATACATCAACACCAACGATGCAGGCATGTGTGTGGTGGAGTGGCGGCGGAGGCAATTGAGTAAGACAATGTTCAACAGACAGACAGAGAACAGAAACAAAGTTGAATGATGGTGTTCCAGAGGAATCAGTCATGCTTTGACCAATGCTTTATAAATACATATTAAAATGTTAGAATGCCTGAACAAAATGGCTAGTGTGAAGGACAGTTATCAGAACTTACAAACAAAACGTAAATTTCAGGAGAAGATATTGATAACATAATATTGTTAACATAAAAAGGAAATATGAACTCTAGCAAAGTATAGAAATAGCCATGGACTCATGACAAAGGCCATAAAGGTCCTTTAAGCTCAAACATTCTACTCTCCTACAAGTAACAATAATTGTCAGCATTTGAACTTACGTCTCTCTGGCTCCAAAAACCCATTATCTTAACCCTTAAGCTAGTTCTATTATTAAAAACAACAACCTTAAAAGTAGGATAATAAATATAAACTTGTCACATTAAGTCCTCTTATCAGCCTTTCCAACAGCACTAGTCAAAGAGTTTTCCTTCAATATGGAAAATCTCAGCGCACAAGGAGAAGCAATGATCATGATGAAAACTTAATAATTCATTTCCCTTTGGAATCTGTAATGACATTAAGCCAAGGAAAGACTGACCTAATATTACCTGTATGGAATTTAATAAAACAGATGTCCTTTTTACCCAGATAAACAAATGGGCCAGAGTGCTAGAGATATAAAAACACAATTCTTTAATATAAACAGTTAATAGAATAATAAAGGATGTCAAACAACTTCCTTTTTAGTTAACATGTATAAACTAAACTGTTATTTATTTTCCTAGGATTGATATTAATTTGCCTGGAAATTGAAAAATAAATATGAACCAGAAGCTATTTAATTAATCAGAGAAAGAAATGTGATTAATTAAATAACTCCTACTAGAATTTATAATCCACCAATCCTACCATTTCTTCATTGCTTACCTGTCACCCTAGCTTAAATTCCACTCCCTCACTCCTTTCTTACTCCATCTTTCTCAGAATAGACTCCAGCACTCATGGTGTCCCACTTTCCACCTAGTCTGAGCCTGTACCCACACCGTTCAGTGTGGCTGGAGGAAAACCCCAACCATGCTGACTGGTTTCTCTCACCTTGAGTGGCCCTCAGCGCCATGGGAAAGTCATTTCCTAGTTCCTTAGCCACTGGCTGGCCCTATTCTCCTGCATAACCGCTTCCTACTCGCTCCCCTTTCATCAAACTTCCAACGTCCCCTTCCTCACTCCCAGCCGCTGACATGACAAAAATCGCAATTGAATGTAGAATCGAAAAAGACCCCCCACAAGGTATCACTGCCACACCTGCCCACCACCTGTGCCTGGCCTGCACATTCTGCCTTCCTTCCTATTGCTCTTCGGATAAACTATCCAGACATCCTTAACTGAGGTCAACTCCTATAGTTGTGCACTAGATCCCATTCCTTTCCCCGTCTACTCCAAGATCTTAGCAGCAATACTCTTCTCTCGGCTCCATCATCAAGTTTTCTTTCTCAACTGACCAATCCTATCAGCATATAAGCATACTGTTATATCTCTTAACATAGAACAAATAAAAAAACCACATACATCTCCGCTCTCCTTTACAGTAAAATCCTTAAAAGACTCATCTATACCTCTCGCTCTGCTCCCTCCTCTCCTCTCTTGAAATCACTTCAACCAAGCTTGCCCCTGCCTTTCCACTGAAACCATTCTTCTCAAGGTCACTTGCCTTCTCATCTTAGTCCAATCTCAAGTCCCAGTTATCATCGTATATGATCTACCAGCAGCATTTAAACATTTAGTCACTTCTTCCACCTCATTTGGCTCCAGGATATCACACTCTCCTGGTCTTTCACTAGCCACTTACTCTAATTCCCCACAGAATCATCATCATTGCTATCTCTCATAACAACAAGGTACCCCAGAGCTCAGTCTTTGGTCATCTTCTCTATCTCTATTCCGTCACTTGATAATTTCATCCAGTCCCATTTAGATAATGATGATTCCCAAATACATATTTCCATCAACCCTTGAGCCCATGAACTCAAGACTTACATATTCAACATCTCTACATGATGTTTACAACAGTGCTATTCACAGTGTAGTCCATCAACTATGTATTACTGGTCCCAAACAAGATATGTACAAAAATTAAGAGGGAGTATTTAGAAACTTGACAGAGTAATTCTGTTTGTTCACTCTAATAATAAAAAATTGGACATGAACTTTGTTTTCCATTAATTAAATTTTTCTAATTCATTTTTATTGTAATGTTCAAAAGTATCTATCTGTGATGTATTGAGAGGAAATAAACAGGTCCTCCATCAATTCAGATAGTTTAAAAATACTAATCTCATAGGCATGCCAAGTTAACTGGTCCAAAACCAAGCTCCTGACACTCTCTCCCAAACCTGCTTGTCCTGCAGTCTTTTGTTAACAGAGCTCTTTCAGTGGCTCAGACTAAAACACCTGGAGTCAGCCCTGGAGGCAGCCTTCACACTCTGTTATCTCACATCCCACTCTAATTTGTCAACAAATCCTATCAGTTTGACCTTCAAAATACATACAGAATCCAACCATTCACAACCTTCCCTGCTACCACCCCAGCCAAGCCACATCACCTGGAGCTTGAATTACTATATAAGTCTTCCAACTGGTCTTCCTATTTCCACCCTCAGCCCCTACAGTTTATTATTAAGGCAGCAACAGTGTGATTCTTTTAAAATAGAAATCAGGTCATGACCCTCCTCTGTTCCAAACTCTCCAAGGGACCTCACTCAGAGTAAAAGCCAAAGTCACTAACATGGACACGATCTATAAGGCCCTAAAGGAGCTAGCCTCCCCCACTTCCTCTCTGACTTCATCTCTTGTTTCTAAATAAATGAATAATTTAATTACAACTATTTGCATGAAAGCTTACTTCAGAATAAAACCGCTGTTATGAAAGCAGTTACGTAAAAAAAAAAAAAAAAGGGTTGTTACTCTGGCCTACATACAAATATTATTGATATAAGTGAGTAAAGGACAAAGTCAATAAAATCAACAAGGTTTCCTACGGCACCTGACAAACTGAGAAAATAGTGATTTGAGGTAATAATGAAATTGGCCAGAGATCAGGTTGGGTACTATGAGCTTTTCAAAATGCTTGACCCCTCAGTAAAAACCCACTTCACGTGTCACTCACACATTAACGTGAAGAGCAGCCATCGTCACCCACTGGATGTCTGAACCCTGCCAAGACTTCTACTCAGCCTTGAGGTGGAAAGGTGTTATCTTCAGACGCAGGAACACCTCCTAGACCCTGCCCACCAGACCCGTCAGCTCCCACAACTCTTCCGAGTGCAGTGGGGACTGCTATGACAGATGTTAAAGAACAGGATTCCTCAGCTACCGATGTCGACAGAGCAGGAAAGATCTGTCAGGGTCAATCAGACATTAAAGACACTCCTAACTGTCAGTGACTACTCAAAGGCAGACTACAGCTAATCTGCAAAAACCTGTACAAGGTTTATGAAAACCAATAGTCTAAAATTTCCCAGAAAACATATCACAGCACTTAGAAAACTTAGGCCCTCTTATTCAGAGCATAGGGCTACCTCCAATACCACCATGGTTTCCTTGATCATATTCCGAAATTAAGATTTTTAAATAATAGAAAAAAAAGATAAGCTCATTATTTGTTTGGAATAAAGTATGATTTAAAATAAACAGTAAACATTTACTGAAGACTCTACGTATGATTTCATTTAATACTAAATGAAGCACGTTTACAGATCAGGGAAACTGAGGCACAGGAGTTGCGTGCACTTGGAAGGGGCAGAGCCAGGATTCTGACAGAGACAGCATGATGCCAGACCTTTCTGCTTAACCACCACACTGTTCAGTACTTAAAAAAGTCTCAAAATCTCAACAAACACCTTTTTTGGTCTTTCAAAATATGCGTTTATTTACATGTTTACAATAAATTTATATTCAAGAAGTAGCCAATTGACCAATGAGTTAAAACAAAAAAAAAGCCTAAGTGCAAAGCTAATCGATTTTATTTTTATTTTCATATCTCCAGAAGTAAAACACTTACCTCCAGTTGCTCCTTCTGGGTAAAACCCTTCATGCTTTTCCCTGAGGCGTGGCCAACAAAAGTCATCACTCTAATCATTGGCTGATGCTGTAAAAGCATTTCTGCAATTTCCTGAACACTGTCTCGAAATGAAGAGAAGATCATAACTCTGGTCTTGTCACATTTCTTTTCAGAGGCGTTCTGAGCTATATAACAAAAAATACTTTAATTACAACTTTTTAAAAGCATATAGACAAGAACTAGTTCAAAGACAAGCCTGAAACTATATGCTAATGAATGATAATTCTTTCAAAAATATAATTTAAGACATCATAAACCTTCGCTGGTTTTCCTCCTACCTTCTCTAGTAATTTTAATAATCTTGGCTCCCTACTTCTCACTGGCTGTCATAATAAAATTCTAAGAAAATCAAACAAAAAGGACCTGAGGCACGTCTGGCCAGTCCTCAGTCACACCTGAGGCCTGTTAGTCCCCTTTCGCCCTCTCAGCTGGAATCACAGAGCTGCAGAGCCCCCGCTGATTTCGTGCATCTTCCCTTTCCTTGCTGTCACCAAAGGCACTGTCTTACCCAGGCCTCAGAATTCTGTCCCTGAACCTACTATATTTTTGTAATCTCCAGTGACAACTGCAGAATATACCCAACAGCCAATCACAAAGCTGCTCCCAGAGTCTCTGTGTTTGGGAGGCCATAGAATCCACAAAGAAGAACATGGTTTTTGAGGCTGGGCCACTTACTCGCTGGGTGATGTGTGACCATGGTAGCTATTTAACCTCTTTAAACTTTAGTTTCTTCACATCTAAAATGGGCTGTGGTGATGATTAAATGAAACAGTAAACATAAGGTATGTAGACTTGCATGGAGCAATTAGTTAATAATCGCAAGTTGTGTGGAGTTCGTGGTGTTGTTCGTTTCTTTTCTTTTTAAGCTTGCTTGGGACTTTGACAAGCCTTTTTTCTTCCACGTGATTTACACTACATTAATCATCATGAGGGTGCCAGGGACAACCCTAAGGATTAAATGACTCAAACCTACAAAGCGAATTCACAGTACATAAGCAAACAGCAGGAGCAGCTGTACAGAAAAGTATTCTAGATAAACCTCCTCTGCATTACCCAGCATCAAGACTCCATCTGACCATCTCCTGACCCTCTGCTCCTTCTGGTGTAAGCCAGTCTCCTCAGCCGGCCGGCAGCCTGCCTGTCTCCCTTCACTCCACTGCAGCTCCTCTTCCAAAGTCATGAGTAACTTCCAGATCACCAAGTTCAACAGACGCTTCCTATTTAGTCCATGGTACCACACCCCTTGGCAGCATTGAACACAGTCGGCTCCTTCCTACGAAACAGTCCCTTCCTTCAGCTCCTCTGACACCTGACTTGTCTGTCCCTTTCTCAATCTCCTTGTGGCTTTTTCCCTCTGAACTCTGATGCCAGTATTCTTCAGGACTACATTCTGGGTCTTCTCCTGTCTCTAAACTATTCCTGGTGATGTGACCACATCTATTCCTGAAACTTTAAATATTACCTTTATACTGATGACTCCAAAATTTATTCACAGGCATGTAAATAGATAAAAATATCCCAGACCACTAAGATCCAGACGCACTTACCCGCTCCCTGCACACCTACACCTGGATGTCTCAAAAGCATCTTAACACGTTTGCTCTTTCTTCTCCATGCTGTTCTTAATTTTCTCTCTGCTCACATAATGATACACGCACACACACACACACACATATGCACACCCATGTGACTCCTTTTTTCTCATACTCTTTGTCAAACAACAAATACTGTTGGCTCCAACTTCAAAAAACATCAAGAATCTATAAGCACTTCTCAGCCCCTCCCCTACCCCTGCCTTGGCACAAGACATCATCGCCTGTTATCATGTGAGACTAGCATATAGTCTCCTCATTGGTCAATGTCTGCTCTCCACAAACCTGCCAATTCTACCGCTCTGAACTCCTTGGCAATAGTTTCACAAAGCATAAGCACTTGCAGAATAAACCAAAGTTGTGACTCAGCTCACAAGTCTTAGTGATCTGGCCCTGGGCTCCCTCACCCATCTCCGCCTACACCACTCTCACCCTCATTGCACTACTCCAGCCACATGGTTTGTTCACTGATTCCTAATTAGACCAACCACCCTACTGCCTCAGAGCCTTTGAATGTACTGTTCCCTCCACCTGGTGTGATCCTCCCACAGGAAACCACAAGGCTGGTTCCCTCATTTCCATGAGTACAGCTCAGACATCACCCTACAGACAGGCTTTCTCCAACACTCGACAGAACAGCATCCTCCATGACTCTCTCCTTACCTGCTTTACTTTCCCTACCATTATATCAGATTTTGTTTCATGTCAGCTTCCCTTATATTGCCCCATACTGACTTTCCTTTTATATATAATACCCTATTCTTAACATTCCCACCATTTCCCTTGCCCCTAACCTCCCAAAATCTCTCAGAGCTTTTTTCTAGTCACTAGAGTAATTAAAAGCCTATCTTCTCCGTAAGAAGTGTTAGCACAAACTAACAACTCTGTCTCACTCTGAAGCTACTAAATACGACTCACCATTCCACGACTTGAAGTGGTCAACTACAACTTCTTCTAATTTCTTTAACTTTGGATGACTGTAGAAAAATGTTTTATCTTTATCTCCTGCAAAAAAAAAAAAAAATTCTATATTTTTCCATATTCAATTACATTAATGCATTTTAATTATCCTTTTCAAAATGAATTTGTTACTTTTTTCTTTTTATTTAAATAGTAAGTAGTATCTGGGAGCACATAAGCATTACAGTAAAATAAACTTTGAACTTTTATGAACATTTAATTCTCAGAAGAACCCCAACAGGAATCAGCAGCAAAGTAAAAGGGAAAAAATACATATTTATTTAAGCTATAAATCAGTTTTTAGCAGTTCTGAGAATTTTCACTGCCAGTAACAACTACTAACATCTATTATATACTTAAAGTTTATTAACTGCTTGAATAGGCATCTATCCTAACTTAAAGAAAATCTTTAAGCATTTAACAGGTCTGTTGCTAAAGAAATATAAGTAATTATAGATAGATATGAGGATCAATGGAGCAAAATTTGAAAATTCACCTTGATGAAGAAAAACCATATAAAATAAAAATCAGACCTTTCTGGGTAGCAGAGGTGCCCCCTGCTGAAGCACCCTGTGTCTGTGCAAACATGCCCTCAAGATGGTTATAGAGTGCCATGAAGTCCTCGTTTCGGCTAAGTTCATTTTTTGCCCGAGTCATTCCTTCAGGAATTAAGAAAAGATTTTCCAAATAAATAAACTTAACAGCAAAACTAATCAAATTTATTATTTATTAAAAAGAAATTAAACTTTACAAATGAATGCAAGTTTTCCAAATTTAAACATGAAAACCAGCAACTTCTTCCAGTTCCACATTCACATATGTGTTAATGAATGGCTTGCTCTTTTCCAGCTATTCATCAAAAACAAAGAAACATGGCCAGCTGTTACATAACTATCTCATTGCTTTTTGAAATAAAGCATTTTTAAGTAAACTAAACTGTTCAATATATCTTTAATGAAAATAATACATTATTATTTCTTTAAATAATATACCTTTAGTTCCATCCATAATTCCACAAAGGAAGAAATATAAGGATCTCATTCCCATTTGCTGCAATAATTCGTAACCATGATACAAGCTAATACAAATAGCAAACTCTCCCTCGATTATGCCTTGTATTCCCTAGAAAAACAAGCATATATCAAATTTAAGCAGAGAAAGAAATGAAGATACATGTTCCATGTAGAACTTATTGGTTCTAGTGCATGTCATAGGATGTTACTATGGAAAGGTGGCAATGTATTTTCCATATATAATCTGTCCCTTTATTTTTTTTTCTTTAATTCAACCGGAAATCTACATTTTAAAGACAATTATGGGGGAAATATTTATCACATACTGTTTGTCTTTACAGGAAAATTATTAGCAGTACATAGTTTCATTTGTTCTTTCAAAACTATTTAATAAGCATCACTGCACGTCAAGCACTGAGTGAGGTATTTGGGACACAATGGAAAACACGTCCATTATGGGCCTATCCTCATGAATGTTACTGGCATCAGGACAAATATTTAATCAGACTGTTTAACACCAACATTTAACACCAGGTATAAGTGCCATAATAACGGCTGACACTGAGCACCAGACCATGTTCTAAGCATGTTACTTGTACAAACTCATTTAATCCTAACAGCTAGGAGGTTAGGACTACACCTAGCTGATTACACCCACTTCACAGGTGCGGAAGCTGCAGAGCCAGGATTGGACCCAGGGAATTCGGCCCAGAGCCCTTGTCCTCAAAACCACTACTCTCTTGGAAAAATGAAGTACACACTCCTACGGCAGCATACAGCAGGTGTATCTATACAATGAGACGGTTTTAAAAAGACTGACCACTGAGAATAGATTTTAATTATTTTCTTTATTCTGGATAAAAACTAGTATTCGCTACCTTGCATTTTTAGTAGCATTTAACATCAGAGATACTCATTTTGAATGTTTCCAGGATAGTGATTAATGCCCTAAGATGGCATCCTAATTACCTGAAAGGGTAAAATAGCCTCTCTGAAAAACATAAACTCTCATCAGTAAGATTAAGTTCACTGGGTTTAGATTTATGACAAAATTTCAATGAATCTTTAACTCCTAGCAGAAATTAAAACACATTTTATTAAAGTTTAGTATAATATCCTGCAACTTCATAGAAAGGCTCCCTTAGTGGTTCCCCAGATACCAGAGAACAAAGTCCGTATTTCTGGGTGTAACACTGAAAGCTGCTCTCGTGTGGTCACGACCTAGATTGACTACCACACCTGCCTTCCTCACTCCTTTACCTCAGTCCAATCGGCTTGCTCACTGTCTCCTTCACATCTTCCTTCAATCGCCTCTTTTGCACATGCATTCCCTCTCAGTTCAAAGGATGGCTCAGTGCTTTTTTGTGCTTATGAGCATCTCTTCTGACTTTGGACCTAGCTTGATGGTATGCTCCTATCCACTTATTTTTTCCTAGAAAGATTAGGAATAAGCAGCCTACTGTGACGCTTCCTCCAACCTTGGTATCCAGAGTTAAAACTAAATGCTCTGGGTCTACAAGTTAGTTAGAACCTACCCTTTCTTGGCCCTTTGACTTTGCAACACAGAAATAAACTAAAATATCAATTCTTTATTAAAAGAAAATAAATTTGTCTTAATTAAAATCTTTAAAGTCTATTCTTGCTAGATTTTTCATGCTTTTATAAACTATATAAATCATACCTGAATTTTTGATGAGCCAATATATACCAAAAACCAATCATTATTTACATTTCATTCTAGCTCTGAGTAAAAACTTAATCTCTATCTTCAAAATTTATTTAAAAGTACCTACCATAATATTTGGAGATGGGTTTTTCCTAAATTGATCTCTTGCCAGAATTATCTGGTATTTTGTTAGACTGGGGATATCCCGTCTCTTCAAAACATTCCTCTGAATCAAAGAACTAGCAAATGTTTCCAAAATCTGCAAATTTCAAAGATATTTAGTTTAAGGTGTTTTAAAGTCCTTTTTCAAATACAATCATTTCCTCACATATTAAAATAGGAGTTATATATTAAATAAAGTTCATCTTAAACTGAATTTTTATGTAAACTCAGCAAAGATAAAATTTAAAAGTACTTGACATTTATCCCCAGATAACATCCATATGAGAGTCAGCACAAGCAATTATCAGACCCAACTATAATTTAAGAACATATGTGTTTATCTGTTCATTTTCTAACGTGCCCCGCCCCCCACCAGCCCCAATCTAAGAACAATGAAAGGAGGGCCTTTGGCTTCTTCACTGTTACATTTTCAGTACCTACAACAAAGTCTGGCACATAGGCAAATATCTATAGACTGGTGACAAAATCAAAATGCCCTGAGTACATTTAATTTCATTTGTTGATTCATTCTTTCACGAAATACTTATTAAGTATCTATTATGTATCAAGCATTGTTCTAAACACTCAGGATACTGTGGCTGAAACAGTGAAATCGCTGTTTTCATAAGGTGTAGATCCAAGGGAGGGAAGCAAGGAAGGAAGAAGTGAAAAAGAAAGCAGAGCATTTTGATTACAACAAACACATTAAGACCTAAAACACAGTGATGAAGAAGAGTCTTTGAGGGAAAAGGGGTTATTATGAAATAAGGTGGACAGAAACAGTCTCTCTGAAGAGGTAACATGTGAGCTCACGTTTAAATGCTGAAGTACGTTGAGTGTGAGAGGTTCCGAGGACAGAGCACTCGAGGAAGGGGAAGCAGCAGACACAGGGTCCTGATGCAGGAATGAGCTTGCTGGCACAGTGAAGGAAGACAAAAGAGACTTCCAGATGAAGACCCACTACAGTAATACGTAACAAACTGTTCAAATTTTTGCCGAATTTTTATTTCCTAAAATAGAGCTATTTTAGTACATTTTTATCTTTCCTCCCTTCCAGCTTTGCTGATCACACTGCTAAAAGAAGCACTCAAAAATGTCAGTGAAATTAAATTCTTATATGTGATTTACAAACTATAAGTTTTAGATTCTTATAAATGGAATGATTTAATCATAACAAAATATATTAGTATTTAGCAGATGATTACTGGAAAGATTTTTCCATATCTTAAGTTAATAACATTAAAAACTTTGTTACAAATAATTTAAAAACAAAAACCAAACCATATTCCTACAAAACTTCTCTTTAAGAAAGACTTATTAAAGGTTAAATGATGCTTGAATGTTTTGGTTATGTATCGCTGCATAACAAACTACTTCAAAGCATCACAGATTAAAACCACCACCACTGTATTTGCACACGATTCTGATTCTGTGGGTAAGAATTCAAGCAGGCACTGCAAGGGCGTAGAAGCAATGACACCACAGTAACAACAAGCACACCTAGTGAACAGACCTTGATTTCTAAATACCACGCTTCCATAAAAGGAACAGGGATTCCTTGAAGAAATGGTTGATTCCATGGCTGGGACAGGAAAAATACTAAATCAGCATAAAATATCTTGTAAAGTAGAAAATTAGGAAGTGCTCCAAAGAAAAGAGTGCACATCTGAAGACACAGGAGCCATCTTCAAGCAGCTCCCAATGACCAAAGCGGGAACGACGTGAGCAACAAAACCAATAATGACAGTCTTGGATTTAACCCACAGAAAATCAAATACTCATTAGTCTATATTGATATAAAGAATGGAATTAATAAATAAATGGAGAAGAAACAACTCTTCATTATAAGAGAATTCAAATTAACAAATGGAAAAGAAAGGGAAAGAAGAAACAATGATTAGGCAAACACTACAGAAAGAACTATTGCAAGCAAGAACCATCACTGTATGCTAAAATTAGCGGGCAAAATATTGACAAGCAAGGTATTTGCACAGTCTCAAAGCATCTCCCCAGTGGAACTCCCTATACTATTTTTGCAAATTTTTTGAATGTCTAAAATTATTGCAAAATTAAATGTTAAAAACAAAACCAAATTCTTCCAGGCTCTGCAGGGACAGCTTGTCTCTGCTCCCTGAGGTCTGGAGCCTCAAACAGCAGGGCCGGCTGAAATAGCTCAACCCGGCCGTTGTCTGCACCTCAATTCTAGCTATCTACTGGCTCCTCCCTCCTCCTCAACGTGACCAACTTGAGCTTCATCACATTCTGTTGCTCAACGCAGTCACAGGCCAGCCTAAACTCCTGGGAAGGGGAAACAAACCCCTCCCCACAGAGAAGTGGCATGGAATCTGCAGTCATCTCTAATCCACGGCAATGAGGATACGAAAACAAGATGTTTTCAGTATAACACTAATTATGAACTACAGAAAAACAATGATTTACCCTCAATTTTTCCCACTGAAAGGGTAACTGTCTAAGTGATTTCTCAAAGCTAAAATATTGACATTTGGACGAAATAATTCTTCGTTGTTGGGGAGGTTTTCCTGTTCACTGCAAGATGTTAAGCAGCATTCATGGCCTCTATGCACTAGATGCCAGAAGCAACTCCACTCCCCACCCCTTTCAGTTACGACAACCAAAAATGTGTCAAGATATTGCCAAATGTCGCCAGGTGGGCAAAACCGACTCCAGCTGAGAACCATTGCTGTATAAGGGATCAAGAAGGAAAATACTGAAAATATATTTCCTTACAAAGAAACTTCTGGTTGAATCCAGATATGTGTTATTGGTGTTTTCACCATGTAAAAATTCACTGAGCTGCACACTTACGTTTCGTGCACTCTGCTGTTTATATATGTGTAGGGGAGAGGTGTTCTATACTGCAATTAAAAGGTATACTTAAAAAAATACAAAACCATATGAAGCTATTATTCACATTAGAAATGGTACATCATTTTGTATTGCCTCCTTAACTAATAGTTTGCCAAAAATAAAATATGGTGCTCATTCCAAAAATTTCAATTTCAAAGAATTTTTCAACATATTATATAAAATGATTATATGTTCTCACAGCCAGATCCTGTTAACTAAAGCAATTACATTATTAGTTCGTTTATTAAAACACTGAATTGTGATAAAAATGGCTTACCTGTATATATGCCTTTTGGATGGCAGCAAGTTCTTCACCGAGGGGAACGACAAGTTTTTCAACTCGTCTCTCGTGAGAGTATGGCAGGATATCTGGAGAATCTTCAGAACGAAGCTCTATCTGCCCAATTAGTAGGTTGGTAATAACCTGTTGCACGGCCTATGCAAAATCAATTAAGTATGATTATAAATTATATTACTTAAGTTTTTTAGTTTGTCACTAACAGAAATAGAACAGTGTTAAAATTTGAAAGAAATATTAGAAATTCATATCATTAAATATTTTTAAAGAAAGAGAACGCTAACACAGATCAGAAGTGGCACAATAGAGGAATAAGGCTTTTGAAACATCTTTCTTCCATGCAGACTTCAAGATAAGCATCCAAGAAATAAGAACAATGGTAAATGTCCAACAAGTTCCTTAAATGTATTTTGCACTTGCCAATAGCAGTGACATATTCCTTCCATCAACATTTTATAAAGATTCAGACAAAAGAAGTTTCAGAAAAGAAAACTACATCCCGAAAACTATATAACACGATCAATTTCAGAGCTAGAATCAGAACGCAGATTTCCTGATTCCCCGGCAAATACTTTTTTCCATTGATTTTTTTGTGAGAAAAACAGAGAAGTCTTGTTACTATCAAAGGACACAAATGTATGTTAGGAATACTTTACAAATTGGCCTGCTAAGAAATTGAGGGTATAGAGCCTATACTCAATCAATTACTGGTAAGTTAGTGGAATATTTTCCATTTAAATTAATATATACAATGTGAATATATTTCTAAGGCTAAATTTCATTCGCTCAAAGCTTATAAAGGCACTTAATTGAAAAAGTAGGGAATTGGAGCAAAAACATATAAGGTGTTGGTATAAACAACTACCAAACCATTAGACTAGTACAGTACTGACCATATCACTAAGAGCCAGGAAGGAAGGAGAAAAGGGGGGATCATGAAAGCACTAGAAATTAAGAGGTTTTTTTTTTTTTTAACTAGAAAATCCTCATGAGCTTAGTTGGACAAAAAAATACTCTAAGGCAAGAATGCCATCTGAATCACCTTTGTATTCCCAGCACTCGGCACGGAGCCCAACACTGTAGTTACTGAGGCTCCACAGACATTCAAAATCTAGAGAAAAGTTACAATCACTTTATAAAATTAGGTAAGACTTGAATATTTTTAATCATTCATTTATTCATTCATTCAATATCTGAGTAACTCCCACATGCCAGGTACTGAGTTGGTGATGGAGCTATGACCAAGATAGGCATAATCCCTACCTTCATGTGGCTACTATTTTAGTGGGGCAAAAAGACAAAAAATAAATGAAAAAGCAAAAGAAACACATATTATGATAAATATTAAGAAGAAAATCACAAAATAGGGGAGCTGACTTTTGAGAGCTTAGAGTAGAACTTCCTGAAGGAGAGGCATTTCAGCAGAGATTTAATAGTTGACTAAAAACAATCATGCTTAAACATGTTTAAACAAGGCTGCAGGGAAGCGAGAGGATAGGATAGAAATTTCTAAAAATTATCAAGGCTATGGACAGAAGGAAAAAAAGTCTTACAGGTTGGCAGAGTTGAAAGCTGTCTTAGAAAGTATCCTAAACCCAATACAGAAAACTATTCAGAGATATGAAAATCAGAATGTCATGGGATAGGGCTCAAAATCATTTTTACCATCCTCCAGTAAAGGAAACCAGAGCTCTCCGGAAAATGGCTGATTCCACGTCTGGGACAGGATAAGTACTAAATGAGCATAAAATATCTGGTGATGTCAGCAAGTTAGAAAGTGTTCAAAAAGACAAAAAGGTGCAGGTCTGAAGGGCACAGGAGCCATCTTCCAGGTGTTGCCAACGGACAAAGATGAACACGCTGAGCAAGAAAATTATGAATGAGGGGCTGGCCCCGTAGCCAAGTGGTTAAGTTCACGCGCTCCGCTGCAGGCGGCCCAGTGTTTCGTTGGTTCGAATCCTGGGCGCAGACATGGCACTGCTCATCAGGCCACGCTGGGGCAGCGTTCCACATGCCACAACTAGAAGGACCCACAATGAAGAATATACAACTATGTACCAGGGGGGCTTTGGGGAGAAAAAGGAAAAAAAATAAAATCTTTAAAAAAAAAAAAAAAAAGAAAAGAAAATTATGAATGACAGTACTGGATCGCAGATCATAGAAAAAAATAAATATCCATTAGTCCATATTAATATAAAGAACTGAATTGATAAATAAATGGGGAGAAGAGACAGCTCCTCACTCCAGAAGAATTCAAATTAACCACTGTAAAAGAAATGAGGGAAAGAAGAAACAGCAAACAGGCAACCACCGCAGAAGAAACTGTTGCAAGAACCATCCCGGGAGCTAGAACAGGACATTTACACAGTTTCACAGTATCTCCCTCACAAGACACTTACTAATTACAAAGGGAAAAACAGGAAGAATACAACGGAGAAACCAAGACCTCATCTTAACCCAGTCAAGATCAAGAGCACCAGTAACGACAATCATCATGTACTCTCTGACACAACGTGCTGAGGAAGAAACAGCATTACTTCAGGGCTATTCTTGCCAAAAACGCATAACCTTACTCCAACCATGAGAAAACACCAGGAAAATCCAAACTGAAGGATATTCTACTAAATAACTGGCACCTACTCTTCAAAAACATCAAGGTCAACGTGATACACCACATCAACAAACTGAGGAATAAAAACCACATGATCATCTCAATAGATGCAGAGAAGGCATTTGACAAGATCCAACAGCCATTTATGATAAAAACTCTGAACAAAATGGGCATAAAAGGAAACTACCTCAACATAATAAAGGCCATATACAACAAACCCATAGCCAACATCATACCCAATGGGCAAAAACTGAACCCCATCCCCCTGAAAACAGGAACAAGACAAGGATGCCCTCTATCACCACTCTTATTTAACATAGTACTGGAGGTCCTGGCCAGAGCAATCAGGCAAGAAAAAGGAATAAAAGGAATCGAAATAGGGAAGGAAGAAGTGAAACTCTCACTGTTTGCAGATGACATGATCTTATATATAGAAAACCCCAAAGAATCCATTGGAAAACTGTTAGAAGTAATCAACAACTACAGCAAAGTTGCAGGGTATAAAATCAATTTGCATAAATCAGTAGCATTTCTATACTCCAGTAATGAACCAACAGAAAAAGAACTCAAGAATACAATACCATTCACAATCGCAACAAAAAGAATAAAATACCTTGGGGTAAATTTAACTAAGGAAGTGAAGGACTTATATAATGAAAATTACAAGGCCTCTCTGAGAGAATTGGATGATGACATAAGGAGATGGAAAGACATTCCATGTACATGGATTGGAAGAATAAACATAGTTAAAATGTCTATTCTATCTAAAGCAATCTACAGATTCAACGCCATCCCAATCAGAATCCCAATGACATTCTTTACAGAATTAGAACAAAGAATCCTAAAATTCATATGGGGCAACAAAAGACCCCGAATTGCTAAAGCAATCCTGAGAAAAAAGAACAAAACGGGAGGCATCACAATCCCTGACTTCAAAACATACTACAAAGCTACAGTAATCAAAACAGCATGGTACCGGTACAAAAACAGGTGCACAGATCAATGGAACAAAATTGAAAGCCCAGAAATAAAACCACACATCTATGGACAGCTTATCTTCGACAAAGGAGCCGAGGGCATACAATGGAGAAAAGAAAGTCTTTTCAACAAATGGTGCTGGGAAAACTGGAAAGCCACATGTAAAAGAATGAAAATTGACCGTTCTTTTTCACCATTCACCAAAATAAACTCAAAATGGATTAAAGACCTAAAGGTGAGACCTGAAACCATACGGCTTCTGGAAGAAAACGTAGGCAGTACACTCTTTGACATCAGTATTAAAAGGATCTTTTCGGACACCATGCCTTCTCAGAGAAGGGAAACAATAGAAAGAATAAACAAATGGGACTTCATCAGATTAAAGAGCTTCTTCAAGGCAAATGAAAACAGGATTGAAACAAAAAAACAACCCACTAACTGGGAAAAAATATTTGCAAGTCATATGTCTGACAAAGGCTTAATATCCTTAATATATAAAGAACTCTCACAACTCAATCACAAAACATCAAACAACCCAATCAAAAAATGGGCTGCAGACATGAACAGACGTTTCTCCAAAGAAGATATAATGATGGCCAATAGGCACATGAAAAGATGCTCATCATCGCTGATCATCAGGGAAATGCAAATCAAAACTACACTAAGATATCACCTTACACCCGTTAGAATGACAAAAATATCTAAAACTAATAGCAACAAATGTTGGAGAGGTTGCGGAGAAAAAGGAACCCTCATACACTGCTGGTGGGAATGCAAACTGGTGCAGCCACTATGGAAAACAGTATGGAGATTCCTCAAAAAACTAAAAATAGAACTACCATACGATCCAGCCATCCCACTACTGGGTATCTATCCAAAGAGCCTGAAGTCAGCAATCCCAAAAGTCCTGTGCACCCCAATGTTTATTGCAGCACTGTTTACAATAGCCAAGACGTGGAAGCAACCTAAGGGCCCATCAGCAGACGAATGGATAAAGAAGATGTGGTACATATATACAATGGAATACTACTCAGCTGCAAAACAGAACAAAATCATTCCATTTGCAATAACATGGATGGACCTTGAGAGAATTATGTTAAGTGAAATAAGCCAGCAAGAGAAAGATAATCTGTGTACGACTCCACTCATATGAGGAATTTAAAACTATGGACCAAGAACAGTTTAGTGGATACCAGGGGAAAGGTGGGGTGGGGGGTGGGCACAAAGGGTGAAGTGGTGCACCTACAACATGACTGACAAACATTAATGTACAATTGAAATTTCACAAGATTGCAACCTATCAATAACTCAATAAAAAAAAAAAAAAAAAAATCAAGGTCATGGGGCTGGCCCCGTGGCCGAGTGGTTAAGTTCGCACGCTCCGCTGAGGGCGGCCCAGTGTTTCGTTGGTTCGAATCCTGGGCGTGGACATGGCGCTGCTCATCAGACCACGCTGAGGCAGCGTCCCACATGCCACAACTAGAAGGACCCACAACGAAGAATATACAACTATGTACTGGGGGGCTTTGGGGATAAAAAGGAAAAAAATAAAATCTTTAAAAAAAAAATAAAAAGTTAATTAAAAAAAAAACAAAAAAAAAAAAATCAAGGTCATGGAACACAAGAAAAGACTGAGGAACTGTCACGGATTGGAAGGGACTAGGAGACATGACAACTACACACAGTGTGGGATCCTGGACTGGAACCTGGAGCAGAAAAGGCACTGGCGGGAAAACCGGCAAAATCCAGATAAGGTCTGCAGACTAGGTGCCAGTATTGTGCCGATGTTAACTTCCTGGTCTTGATAATTTTACTATGGTTACATAATATGTTAACATTAGGGGAAGCCAAGCACAGGTAATACAGAGAATTCAATTTTTGCCAATTTTCTGGAAGTCTAAAGTTATTTCAAAATAAAACTTAAAAAGAACTGAAAATGGTAACAACTTAAAAGTTTTACTATTAAAAGGTTTATTAACAAATGGCTTTAGGTGATTCTTATGCCCACTTACGTCTGAATACTACTAAGGTAGAAAAACTCCTGCCCCCTAGAAGCAAAGGTAGGCACCTTGTAGGAAATGTCGTGGTCCTAACGTCAGACTCAATACTGACATACGAACGGATCTGGTCACATACAGTTCTCATTTTCTTAAACGTTAACAAATGGAAAGACACTTTACTTACCTTTATATCACTACCTGGTGTGGCACTAAGAGCCAAGATTCTAAAGTGATTTGTATATTTGACTAGTTCTCTTACAACCTTAAAAAAAGAAAAAAACTTCTTAAATTTTATCCAACACAAAAATAACAGTGATTATGTTAAACAAGCTATTATATATGGTCCATTATCATTATTCCTTACTCAGAGTATTGATGGTCTAGTGGGTGAAACTATTGTTAGTCATCTTATCTGCAGAGCAAACGATTTAGGCTTACATCCACATCAGTCAACCACCTTAGGGTTTCTTCTCTGCATAGAGCTACAACAACAAAGCCTAGTACAGAGGCAAATCAAAAACCCAGAGGGCCAATGCAAGGGCAAATGGAAGGAGAAAGTCCACTCTCCATTGCTTGGGCCACAGTCTGCCTTACAGCTATATCCATATGCACACTTGCCAGATCAAGATAAATTATAACATAAAAATAGAAAATAAATAAAAACTACTGTGAAATTAGATTTTAAATGGAAAATAAGATTTGCTTTATGAAAGATTTCAAAGAAATTAGATTTTATGTGGAACAATTTTAAATTAAGTTTATTCATAAAAGAATAAGGCTAATTTGGAGTAATTTTAAAACTCTTTCCTTTTAAATCCTAAAACATTTTCTTCAGTGGCACCAAAGCATCGTTCTAGGCTTTGCAGTTTGAATGCAACACCGACTTCTGGTATGATTAACATTGGATCATTTGTCAGAGTCCCATATGCCCCTTCACATGAGGCCCCAATAAAAAGGAAAAGGACCTCTAAGTAAACTGAGTTGCAGGAACAGCTCTTGGTATCCCATATTCCAAATTAGACATAGGAAACAGTAAAACCAGGTTATCTAAAAACTGCTCTAATTTCAATGCATGTCAAGGATGAATTCAATGAGATTGAATCTTGATTAGTACTCTAAAATTATTATTTATGGAGTTTTTTGTAACATGATACAGAATGCATATAAAGATAGAACATTAGAGACTTCAGCAGAATTGTTCTAAATAAAAACTTGCAAGACAAAATGTCCCTAATACACCACTTCTTTTCCAGCAGAGATTCTCAAGCATTTTGTAGAAGGGGAAATGGAGTTGTGTTTGTAACCCAGGAAGCTACATTCTTCACTGAGCTGGTGTGCCTGTTGGGACCTCTATCTGGAACATGCAATGCTCTGTAAACTCTCAGTGCTGTTTGGATATTAATGAAGTCAATGCACGTCTCAATGTAGTCAATAAAAGCATAAGCCCTGTAGTTAAAAAAGAAATCACCTAATGCCTAGAAATTTTAAGAAAATAAATCAGATAAAGTTGCTAAATATAAACTAAATCTACAAAAAGAATTTCATAGAGTTAGAATAAAAATTGTTAAATGCCCCTCCTTCAGCAAAAACCTTAACACATTGGGTATTAATTTAACTTGGAAAGATTAAAAATAAATGAAAAAATATATCCATTTCCCAGCTGAGATCAACTCTAAGAAAGATGACAATTCTCCAGAACATAATACAGAGATACATCCCTCATTGTGCACCCTGCCTTTAAAAGGCCTTCTCTCCTCTAAGCTCTTTTAAATCTTAAGTATCACCCCAGCTGAACATTTTTCAAGGAGTCTCCACCGCCTACGTCCGCTACGGACTACAAAGAGCATTCAAGCTGCTAAGCATAAAATGCAACCGCCTTCATGACCTGGCCCTGAGTACTCTCCCGCCATACCCCACCCCCCCACCTTTGTACTTTATATTCTTCCAGTACTTAACTGGAAGGTAGGCACAGTTAGGTCTGCTGAATACATTGTGCCATTCAATCCTTACAACAACGCTGATGGTCAAGGATTATTTTACCTACCTGCCAAGGATGACACTGCATGTTCACTACCAATCTTTCGATTATCATCTTAGTTCCAAAACTCCACCCATACCCCACTTTGGATCACTGCCTCAGCCATGACTCGGCTCTCATCATCTACATCTGACGATAATTGTCTTGTTAAGGTTTAAAAAAAAAAAATGACAGCAGAGACACTGATTTGAACGGATGAAGGAAAGTATTTCCTATCACCACCTGATATGAGACAATAGATATAAGGCTTTTCATAATGATAATACCATCAATAACTTCCAACACTAATAATTATTCCCCAAAACACTCTTTAACAAGGTTTACACTACAAAACACTTTTTAACAAAATATTACCTGGCAATAAGCATAGTTTCCAAGAGCTTTATGAGCTTCATCAATAACTAGACACTTTATTTCAGCAGCAGGACAAGATCCTCGGGAAAGATCATTTACCATGACTTGAGGTGTAAGGAAAAGGACTCTCTTACTGCGCCATATTTCCTTCCTGGTGAAGGCTTGAATACATCCTGTAAATAAAAGTGACATTCTACATTTTAAACTCCAGACTGTTATCTGCAAAATGTAAACAACGCGGCCTGTTTGCAGAATGCATTCCGGCTTTGGTAACTCGCTTTCAAAACGAGGACAACTTGACAAACCATCGGAACGCTACATTTTAAAGCTCCGTTGTGGTCCAAATGTCCATGCCAGCTCTTACCGAAGACTGCTATCGTCTTTAAAGACTGCCTACAGAATGGCCTAACATCTGAAGAGAAGCAAATTCTTCCACTGGGAAATCCTGGAGTAGAAAGGCAGGAAAGCTTATGTTCACTTACCGATGGGGTCTACTCGCATAATCGCTTCGAAACGCTCTAATGGGCAAGCTGCTGGGATTCTCTGAATACAGCGACCCTATCCATTAGGGCTGGACTTGCTACGAGTAGATGATGCTTTAAGGGAGAGGACGTAAGATAACCTAGGGACTATTACACAGGGACAAGGAATTCCTTTAGCTCAGTTTCCCCCAGAACGCGTGCTTTCCCCTGGGGACCCAACATTTGGTTTCCAACTGGCGCGTTCTTGTTAAGATACCTGTCATCTCGGCCATGTCGGGCTGCGGGATACCCATCACCCGGTAGCAAGCCTCGATCTGCTGTGTCACCAAGGGCTTGGTGGGGGCCATGAAGACCACCTTGCCGGAGGGGAACCAGCGGTAGAAGTTGTACATGACCACGGCGGCGATGAAGGTCTTCCCCAGGCCGGTGGGCAGGCACACGAGCGTGTTGCAGAACAGCGCGGCGCGGGCGATGCGCAGCTGGTAGTCCCGCACCGGGCAGTTCGTGGGGTAGATCCACAGGGCGCCCGCCGACGCGCAGAACCCGCCACTCTCCAGCCCCAGCTGCCGCTCGGCCTCGTACACGGCGACCAGCAACACGTCGTCGTCCACCTCGGGCTCAGCCTCGGCGGCCCCCGCCGCTGCAGGAGAGCGCGCCCCGCCGACGCCGGGGCTCCGGGGCCGCCCCGCTCCGGACCCGCAACCCGGAGCCCCGGCGGCTCGGGACACGCTCGAGCCCCACGTCTGGAAGAGCGTTCTCTGCCGGCCGCTCATGACGCCCACGCCCGCCCGAAGCTTCGCTCGGACGCCAGCAGCCGCCGCCCCCGCCACTCCACTGCCGCCGCCGCTCCACCGCCGCCAGGCCGTTGCCCATCCGCCCCCTTCACACAGACAGCGGGCCGGAGGGCGGGACTGCGGCCCGCTCGCCCACTTGAAAAGGCCGCCGCCGCCTTCGCGCTGGGAGTATGATTGGCTGGCTTCCCGGAAGCTCTCGCGGCCCGCCCAAAGACGCATGCGCCTTGTTGTTGAGTTACTCTAAATGTGGTCCCCTTCTCAGTTTTCATGTAGACTCTTCAGTTCCGTTTCCCGTGGCTAAGTGTCCGGGCAGCTTTGCTACAGTGTTACCGCTTAAAATGAGAAAAATAAGTAACTTTAGGATCCCGGAGACAGTAGAGCGCCACGTCTTTGTGAACTTAACGTTATTGAGCGTCTGACGTGCCCTATTCCTTGTTGGCTGTGCTTATAAGTAGGAAGAAGAGGTGAAAAGCAAAAGGGTTTAGCTAGAATTAGACATCTAGTCGGCCTCCGCCATCTAGGCCGAGAAAACAGAACGCCAGGCCTGTTTTTCTCGTTATTAAGAGCGGTCACCCATTGTCTTAATGTTTTTATTGTTAAAAGGGAAGCGAACGGTGTGGCCCTGTCAGTCGTGGGACAAGCCGAAGGTAAACGGGGGCGTCCCACTGCTCTCTCCACTCGGAGCCGGCGGGCAGCGGCCTCGCTGCGGCGCCCTCACGGGGGTCCTTTGTCAAAGTTCTCAACTTGCTTTTGCGCCCCTGTGTCGTGTTTGTATTAGGGGACAGGGGGCAGGTTGTACTTTAGTCTCATTTGTGAGGGTTTTAAAAGGGAGACGGTGGGACTTGGGTCATTCTGACGGCCAAGGACTCCGCTAGTTCCGGCGTGAATCCTCAGGCTAGAACTAGATAAAATGGGGCTCGATGTCTCAATGATGTTGTTTAAAGAGGGTGTAGAGCCTAAAGGCTCAGCAGCCCGTCGGTAACAAACAAGCGTGGGAACAGCTGGTAGACAGCACTGCCATCGAGGGCGCCCCCCAAGGGCTCCAGTCACGAGTCAAGTACAGCTGGAGGTGTTCCGCGTAGCGGGCCGCCCCGCCCACACCCGCGGGTGTTTCTCCCGGACACAACAAAGACGCCCACAAAGCACAGCCCCGATGTCACTCAAGGACGCGCCCCCTCGCCGCCGGGGCCCGCGGCGGCCCCGCCCCTCGAGGTGCGTGCGGGCCCACGCCGCGCCCTGGGGGCGGGGCGACGCCGAGCCGCGGCGGGCTGGTTCAGTGAAGCGGAGGCAGCGGGGGAAGATGGCGGCGGCCGTTCCGCAGCGGGCTTGGACCGTGGAGCAGCTGCGCAGCGAGCAGCTACCCAAGAAGGACATTATCAAGTTTCTGCAAGACCACGGCTCAGACTCGGTACCAGGGGCGGTGTGGCGGCCGGGCCGGGGCGGCGGAGCGCCGCCTCCCCCCCGATGCCGTACATCCCGGCTTCCTCCGCCCCCGCCCTCGGCCGCCGCGGCCTTGGCCTGGAGGCCCGCGAGGCCGCGTGCGCCCTGAGGCCGCGCTCCCGCCCCCTGGCCGGCCCCGCTCGGGCTGGGGCGGGGAGTGGGGGCGGCCTTGCGTCCTGGGCCCGAGGGCAGCGAGCGCAGTGAGGGCCTCGCTGGGATGCTCGAGTGAGGGTGGAGGCCGGGCAAACCGACCCGGAGCTGGGGACCCAGGCGGGGCCGGGGAGCCCGCGCCCCTGCGGGGAGATGGGAGGCGACACGGAGGTCTCTGCGGGAACGCCGGGTGCGCGGGCTTTGCTCGTCGTTACTAGTGATTTTTAAAAATCCGTAGATTGTGCCTTTACTCTTTAAAATACCGACCATTTGAATGGCCTTTTCCTCGTTATGTGAGGGGAGTCACACGTGGGTTTTGTATAGTGTCTCCCATTGTTAGGAACAAGCGAAGACGTCTCGTTGGCTTTGTTTATACCGTAGGTCCTGCCTTTTTTCCAGCGTAGTCTCCATCTTAACCGCCCGTCTGTAGTCACAAGTTGTTTTCCTGAGACTTGCCTTTTTCTCCTTGGGACATTAAGATTTAATTAGCCTCTCTTAAATTGCTGAACGGTCTGTGTGGTGGTGCGCGCGGCATGAGCCGCTCATCGGAAATAGGAGCAGCAGCCTGAATAGGGTGTTTGTACGATTTTTTTATCGAAGTTCTAAACTGGCACTTAGAAAATCTGTTTTTGGGTTCTTTTGAGAGGATTTTAATTTATTTTCATTTTGAGGGTTCTTGAAGGGGAGATATAATTATTCTCCAACTTCCAGTTCCATACTCCTGAATAATTATCCTGACATCAGTAAGTATTTCTACAACGTCTGTAGCAAGAACTATGTAGTATTTGGGGATACAAGGATGAAAAAGAAAGACCGTGCCTCACAGATACCGTTTTAGTGTAACTTTTTTCTCTTAAAACGATTCGTACTCCAACTGGAACAATAGAATGTAGTAGGCATATCATTTATTAAATTTAATTCTCAATACTGTATTTCATTCAAGTTCTTATAAAACAAGTCATCCCAAAATGGAATCTAATGTAAAACCGGCCCACATGGGACAATTTCAAGACTTGGATTATCAAAATATTTTTATAACATATTAACCTTTTAAGTGCATATTCTCCAGCGTTCATTCACGTACTTAAACCTATATTTGACAGTCACTGTTTTATTGATCATAAAATATCAAGGAAATGTTTATATTTTGGATATTTTTCTGGAACCTTGCTAAAGAAATCACAAGAGTGCTAAAGCAACTCATTACTTCTGTTTAATCAGAATAGCTTTTCCCCATCAGCTTTTATCATTTAGAACATTTCTCTAAGGGAGGAGAGAAAAACCAGAGGGGAAAAAAAATACAATAGTGATAGTGTTAGAGAAACTGTTTTAGCAAAAAATTAGAAGATGCCAGAGGACAACTTTGAGAAAGTGACAAAATGAGGAATCAAGCGAGGACCACAAGACAGAAAAGGAAGCAGAATAAATTAAGGGAAAACAAGTTATTAAAATTCCCACATTATGTGATTTTCAGATGAAGTTACATAATCTGATGACTTGATAGTTTAGTACTATTGTTGTCCGTCTGCCAACCTAGTCTTATGTTTGAGAGAAATGGAATTCTACAGTTACTTTGAGTTATTAGACCTATTATTAGTGATAATAGCTAACGTTTATTTAGTTCTTACTGTGTGACAGGCTCTATGCTAAATGGAGTATTGCATTTACCCTTAGAACAGTCCTCTGCCATAGATGCTGTTATTAATCTTCCACTGTGACGGAGAAACAGAGCCTTTGGAAAAGCTTAGTCCCTTGTCAAAAATCAGACAGCTAGGATTTTAACCCGGATGGTCTGACTCCACAGCCCACACACTTAACCAGTATATATCTAGCATTGTGTAGCAGTGCTTCCCAGTCTGCCAAGAATGGGTTACAGATGTGTCAGGATAGCTATGCCTAACATGGCTGGATTCTCCCAGGGCCAGGGCCGAGTAGCATCCTGCCAAGAGCAGTTCTGCCCAGTTACCAGTGTGCTTGCTATGTAAATGTGCTTCTCTCTGAGTTCCAGAGCGGGCAAAGGGTTAGTGTACCCAGTGTGACCCCTACATAAGGTACAGCTCCAGTCCTGTGAATAATTCTTATAAAATACCCAATAGTTTTGTTTAATCTTCCTTAAATCTTTTTTTGTTGTTATGGAGTATGAAATACAATGTTTATTTCACTTGTTCTTTCATTAATAGTACTATTGAAAACATAATTGCTAACATAAAAGGTCATTTTCTAATTTTAGACCCTTATGAGGCAAGTTATTTCAGCTAACCAGCTTTTTTCTTTAGTTTCTTGCAGAACATAAGTTATTAGGAAACATTAAAAATGTGGCTAAGACAGCTAACAAGGACCATTTGGTAACAGCCTATAACCATCTTTTTGAAAGTAAGGTGAGTATTGTTACATTTTCTTACCAGAATATCATTTTAGATATTTTATTCCCCAAAAGAAGTTTTAAATGCATTTATTTGCAGAATATGTGGAAGTTTTTCCAGCTGCAGTTTCTCCTAACTGTAATCATAGGGAGACTAGCTGTCAAATCCATGAGGCTGATCTGCAGTATGGCAGGATTTTTTGATATTTTGAAAGGGACCAGATTTTAAAAAATAACTCCCTGGTAGCTTAAATTAAGACAAATTCTTAAGGGCACTGAAAAGTTACAAATCCATAATAAGTTCCATTTCATTAATGAATTTAAAGTCTGGGCTAGACTTAGGCTGAGCCTTAAGAAAAACAGATTTTAAGAAATTCCCCGGTGTTTGTTAGTATGAAATGACTGTCTTCCACAGAAAAGAATCTTTATTAAGGAGTCGTTTGAATAGTATTCATCTTTGAGTCTGAGTTGGCCTTCCTAAAGGTCCTGGTTCTCATTTCAAAATATTTGTTGTGAGATGATTGAGGGTCATAGTTTATTGAGATGCTTAACACGAGATTCCTCCTCGTCCTTGTGCACTTCCAGTTCCGTGCATGCGAGTTCCGTAGCCAGTGTCCACGGTGCACGTGGTCGGTCATTGAGGGGCTTTCCGCCTGTCCGGAATACGATAAACATGAGAACATTTTCCTTGCAGCGTTTCAAGGGCACTGAAAGTGTAAGTAAAGTGTCCGAGCAGGTGAAAAATGTGAAGCTTAATGAAGATAAACCCAAAGAAACCAAGTCTGAAGAGACTCTGGATGAGGTTTGTATATAAAGTTTCTTAGTTTATTTCTCATGTGAATTTGAGAAAGGGATTTGCTTACAGCACTGCTTTCTCATGGTAAGGTGGGTTGAGTATGGCCACCTTCAGCGAGCCAAACACTGGTTTGGAGTGTGCCATCTCCTGCAGGTGTATGAATCGGGAGAAAAGCCTGAGAAGCAGTGGTTTACAGTTAGTAAACCTTTCCTGTGGAAAACCTCTAGTTTTGTATTTTGTATTGCGTCTATGTCTGGCCAGATCTGGGCTTGCAGAACTATTTTAAGGTCCTGATTCTATATCCAAGTTGACTGAGTGAAAGAAACTTTGTTTTGATTATTTTTTCTAGTGTGTATGATGTCCTTGGCAGTAGAAATAGTTGGTCCAGGCTTGGCTGCAGGGTGTGAGTTCGTCTGTCTCATCACTCCCAGTTCAAGTTTGATGTTTTGATACAAAGGTTCGAAGAACCAGATAAAACCATTTCTGCAAATGGACAGCCTTAGTAGAGCTGAATAGATTATAATCCTGCCACTTGTGGTAGTATCTTACCAGCTAAGCCCACGCATTCCTAGCCGTCTTGGCGTCATTGATAATAGTCTAATAATAATAATATGAGTTCTTCACTTGTGAAGCGATATAGCCTGTTAATGAAGCTGTAGCATCTGGGTATTTGTGGGCAGACTGTATGTTCAGGTATAGGATTATAGATGTTGACATCACTAAAGCTAGTTGATTTGAATGATCTTTTTCTGTTGGTTGAAAGACACAAAAAGAATTTTGAGGTTTTATCACAACTAATAATATTTGATAAATGTTATACTGGGCAAGTATTCAGCAGCTACTCAGGTAAATAGGGGTATAATAATTACTAAAACAGTTGCAAAAGCAATTGGCAATATAGTTTACCTTCCAGAAATTAGAATAAGGGAGGTATGAGGTAACAGATAGTATATCATTAAGAGGTTAAGAAAAAGAGAGTTAGAAATAAAAATAAAAGGCTGTAAATGTCTGGAGACAATCTAGAGAGATCTTGTGAGGATCCTCACCTGTATCCTTTTCTTTAAGACCTCTTTTCATTTCACTGGCCAGCCTGAGCCCCATCCTATGCTCTCATTGTCTTCTCAGCACCTGGATTCCGTAGCCTCCTGGCCAGTACTGTGCTTTCTTCTTTGGGACTGCAGAGCGAGCACTGTGAAGAGAAAGAATCATAAAATTGTTTATGGGACTTGGCATACATTCATGCTTGATACCAGCCAAGCACATTTTCTGGTTTCACTGCTACTCAACAGCTTTTACACTGTCCCACGCTCGATTGCCCATCACACTGCCCACGTAAACTGCTTGACACTTGCTCACAAATTCTCACTTCTTTCTCATTACATACTCCTGTGTTCTGTTTTACCAGAGTGTTAACCTCCAGAGTTGTAACCATTCTCTTCTTCCCAGCTTCAGTGTTCTCGGATTCTTTGGCTCTCTTTTCCCTTCTCATGTTTCCCCCAGGACTACTGCTTTCAAATACCTTTCTTCTTTTTCAAATCTTTATCCATTACTTTTTGATTCTCAAGCATTCCAAGGTCTCAGACCTGTAGTGTCAGAAAAGTGGCTCAGCTGATCTCCTGCCTTTATTCTCTTTCTTCATCTATTCAGCCCCAAAATGGCTATTCTGGTAAGCTTTCTACGGTGATATCCTGCAAACCACACCCTGCTCAAAAATTTTCAGTAATTCTGTACTGTCCAGAACTGTGCTGTCCAGTGCCTTAGTCACTGGCCATATGTGGCTCCTGAGCACTTCATGGCTACTCCGAATTGAAATGTGCTTTCAGTGTAAAATATGCACTCAATTTCAAAGACTTAGTGTGATTCAACACGTGGTATCTATATTATTTATCTCTACCTTGTTTATTTTAATGTAAAGAACCTTTCTAATAGCTCTTACAGGACTTTAAATAAATCAGTCATAGTCAATATATTTATTGTCTATTATGTATTAAATAGTGTTGAGGGAAAGTTTTCAAGTGTGAATGAATATTGGACAAGAGAGAAATGATAAGTTGGGGCAGGAACTCAGACTCAGCAGTCAGAAATCGCTGTAGCAGTTGTCAGGCCAAAAACTGGAGATTCATCCTTTAAAACTCCTTTACATCTAGTCATCACCAAATTCTGTCGGTTCTGCGTAAATGTGTCTCAGATCCGTTCACCTTTTGTCCTCATTGTTAGCACCCTGGTGTAGACCTTGAGTACTAGACAGCCTCTTCAGAACAAGCCTCCCCACTTCTTTTGATTCCCTGTGCCTTCCTCACACTGGGGCACAGTGATCTGTTTAAAAGATCTGATTCTATAGCTTCTCTCTTTAAAACTCTTAATTGGCTGCTCAGTGACCGGAAGTTCAGAGAGCAGGTTCTTAGCAACGTGTGCTCCAGGTCTTCCTGGCTCCTCTCATACCGGTGTTCCTCCCTTGCAGACTGCACTGTTTGCGTGCTCTTCCCAGCTATGAAAATGCTATTCTGTGTTGTAGCCTTCCCCCCTTCACCTGAGTAACTTCTCTTGTCCTTCAGAATACAATTTAAACATTACTTCACAGAATCCTCTCCCGGCCTATAACCTATACTGGGTTAGGTCACTGTGTCATTCCCATCTTAGGACTCTGTGCTTCCTCTTCAGGTCTCATAGCGTGATTGTACACGTCTATATTCTCTGCTAGAGGAGGGGCCAGGCATTTCTCCCAACTCACCTGTGCATCTCGTTTCTAACACAGAACATGCTCAAATATTTCTTGAATTAATAATAGGAATACTTACATTATATACTCTTGCTTTTAGAGGCTATGATGTCATCCAGTTAATTGCAATGTAATGACTGCTGTCACACAAAGTTCCTTTATCTCTGGATCTAGAAGTATCGAGTTCAGAGCCAATCTTGGGAATGTAGTTCTTTTCATCATCTGGACTAAGAAATTGCTGCAAAGCCAGGAAATCACCTAAAAGCCAGGTCATTCAAACATGTAACTCCAGAATAGCCTTGGGACTGATTCTGACCTCTCACCGTGAAGCAGCCAGGTTCTTGAAGTGAAACCAAAATCAGATCAGATAACTAGAGCAGCATTTCTCAAAGTGTATGTTAAAGGTCCCAGAAGTTCCAGGTGTTTCCTGGTATCATCAAACCCTGTACCTTGTGTCTCCTACTTGAAAGTTCACACTGCATATTACTAATAGCTCTGAGAAGTCGTGAAGAATGGAGGCATATCTAACTTTGTTTAACGCAGTGTTTCCTAAACTTCATTATGTTAGACCCCTTTTCTTCTAATGGTCTTAACAGCAAAGAATGAGTGATCCATAAAAGACTTTGAAACACTGAAATGGAGGCCACGAGTGGGCAAACTGGCACCTTCACTTAAGACTGAGCCACAGCCACCAATTTAATGTTTTTGCATTATTTTAGGACCTCTAATGTATATAACAACCCAAGCAACTTGGGACAACAAATGGAAAAACAATAGAATGACAGACAATAAGCTTTAAAATGTGGTATTGTTCGCTAATCATACCTTATCCATTCAGTTATATATAATTTCTTTATAATAAAGTCTTAAGATATTCTGATATTCTCACATAATGAATATATGTAGTCATTGTCATTTTGTGGCTTTTAAATTTTTTTAATTAAAATTATTTTCAGGGGCCCAGCTGCGTAGTGGTTAAGTTGGGGTGCTCCGCTTCGGCAGCCCAGGTTTGTGGGTGCGGATTGCAGGCGCAGACCTATGCGTCATTCATCAAGCTGTGTGTGGCAGGCATCCCACATAACAAAACAGAGGAATATGGGCACAGGTGTTAGCTCAGGGCCAGTCTTCCTCAGCAAACGGAGGATTGGCGTTAGATGTTAGCTCAGAGCTAATCTTCCTCAGAAAAACAAAAGTTATTTACAGATTTGGAATATGTTAGCAGATTTCGTGAAGTCAGCTTTATTTTTAAAAATAGATTTATTTTTCTGATATAAAAAACATGCTATTTTTTAAATAGAAAACAACAGAAAAGGATAGAGGATACAAAATTATAACACCTAGAAATGAACAAGTGTAACATTTCAGAATGTTTTCTTTGAATATATATATATATTATTGTTGACATACAATATTCTATTAGTTTCAGGTATAACACAGTGATTCGACGTTTATTTACATTACAAAATGATCACCCTGATAAGACTAGTAACTGTCATCATACAAAGTTACTACAGTATTATTGACTGTATTCCCTGTGCTGTCCATTACATCCCCATGACTTACTCATTTTATGACTAGAATGTTCGGATATTTTCTATGCATATATTTATTTAAATAGTTGAGATTTTACTGTAGTTAGAACCTTCTGTTGATTTTCACTTAAGAATTTTTGCACATTATTAAAAACTCGGTATTACCATAGATTTGTGATTATTTTGTCATTATGGGTAACCATTAATAATGGCATAAAGATTTTTTCCTGTTTCACATTACTTGAGCATATATTTGTACAAATAGAATTATTATTTGTCACACTTTTCACTTTACAGTGCTTTCCAAAGAGATGGCCCCAGTTCACGCTGCTACCAGTAGACACCTGACTGTAGATTGCAGCCTTTCTCGCTGAGACGAGCTTGGAATGGGAATGTCAGGGATTGCCGCTTGCTTTTGTAACACACATTGTACTTGAGCTGCAGATGTGACTTTCTCTGCTTTAAGGAGGTAGCCTGGCTGAGTTGAGTGCGCTAATCCTTGGACGCTGAATTGGATAGGGTACAAAGCCCTACTTTATAAAAGACGAGGAAGACTCCCAGGTTGCTGTGAGGTTAAGTGAGTTAGTGTAAGAAAGTGACTCAGCTAATACCTGACCTTCCCTCCGCTTCAGAGGTAGTAAAGTGGTGCAGAGCGTGGTTTTATATCCAGGCTGCATGGTTTCCAGTCCTGCCAACCACATGGGAACTGTAGGACCTTAAGCAAGTTGCTTAGCCACTCTGTCCTTGTATCCCCTACCTGTAAAATAGGGGTAGTAGTCCCTCCACCTGCTAAGGTAGTGACAGTTGAGTTAATGTACGTGAAGCATCTGGGATAGTGCCCAGCACACAGAGGGCACTCAGTAGATGTCAGCCATTTTAACTTAACATTAGTGGAGGTTGACTATCGTTGTCTCTGTTGTTTGAGGTATTTTGGTACAGTGGAAAGAACAGGGGCTTTGGATTCAGACAAACCCAAGTCCATATTCATTCTCTACTACTCATTAGTTCTGCTGCGTAAATTCCCTCAACCTCAGTCTCTTCATCTGCAAAAATGCAAGTAGGTGATACCTTCTTCAGAGGATTGTTAGGATTGAGTGGGATGGTATGTGTTAAGTGACTGGCAGATAATAGGTGTTTAATACCTCTTATTTCCTTTCCCGGTATTAAATATTCTGTAGTATAAAATTCTATATATATATTTTTTAAGACTTTTTTAGTTTTCCTTTTTCTCCCCAAAGCCCCCTGGTACATAGTTGTATATTTTTAGTTGTGGGTCCTTCTAGTTGTGGCATGTGGGATGCCATCTCAGCATGGCCTGATGAACGGTGCCATGTCCGTGCCCAGGATTCGAACCGATGAAACCCTGGGCCACCAAATCAGAGCGTGAGAACTTGATCACTCGGCCACGGGGCCGGCCCCCCACCTTTTTTTTTTTTTTTTTGAAAGATTTTATATATATTATTAAGTTTAACTAGGAAATTGCTTTCCTCACATATATGAGTCATCATTGATTAGCCTTTAGCTTTTTTTTTTTTTTTTTTTTTTTTTTTTACAAAATGGCTCTGATAATCCTGCTTTGTTCTAGGAAATAGGTCTATTATGGTTAATTTCTATAGATAATTTCATTCATTGTGTGAACTTATTTTCAAACTCAGGAACAGAGGCAACATTACTGCATTCATTCTAATTGGATATAATAAAAATATTTAGTAATGTCAGTTATTAACGTTACAATGTTTTATTTGATGCCTTATGATATTGTAAGAACTAAATAGGAATGATATTTCTAACCTTGGGAAATGACTGGATTCATTTTGTGGTTTGTTGAATAATTAATAGACTCTTATCAAAAGAACACTGGTTTCCAAAGAAGCTGTAAGTTATTTGAAATTATAGATATGCTAGTTACTGATGTTGTCATAACAGATTGAAATGAGAGAGTGCGTTTAACTCACTGAGGTGAACTAGAGGCAAAATAGTTTGTTGCCAGATCTGTGAAATTCTCTCACTGGACTTAGGTCACAGTTGGCTGTATAAGTATTGTCTTTGTCATCCTGCTAAAAGAAGGACATGAGTTAACAACTGTGTGTGTGTTTTTTTAGGGTCCACCAAAATACACAAAATCTGTTCTTAAAAAAGGAGATAAAACCAACTTTCCCAAAAAGGGAGATGTTGTCCACTGCTGGTATACAGGAACATTACAGGATGGCACTGTTTTTGATACTAATATTCAAACAAGTAAGTCTAAATGTAATACTATCTTTTTGGCTGTAAGGCATTGCAAAATATTTGTATGGTAGATGAGCAGTTGGCAGTACCTTTCCCTTGGCTGTCACTTTTTTCCAGTCTTTTGCACCTGTGATTTACTTGAAGCATTCTTCAATTCATTACTTACTGGCTGAGTAAAGACCCCTTGTCATTGGAAAACAAAAAGTAAAGCAGCTTAATCTAAACTTGGTTAATGTCCCAAAGTGAGGCTTTAGTATTTTAATAGAAAAGGCAAATTCTGTGCTATTTTAGTAGTGTAAATTGAGATCCTTCCCCCTCCCCCATTTAGACCATAATTATTTTTACATCTAGAATTTTATTCATGAATGACCTGACTTTCTAAATTTTTATTTCCTTTTAAATACACAGTATGGTAAATTCAGAAATCAACTTAGACTTAACTATATTTTTCTGTTGGAACTTAATTTTATCATTAATTATAACTAAAATCTGTTTTACAGGTTCAAAGAAGAAGAAAAATGCCAAGCCTTTAAGTTTTAAGGTTGGAATAGGCAAAGTTATCAGAGGAGTAAGTAACGAGTGGCAGTGATTCTGGCATATGCTACTTGTGGTGTGGTGCCATAGAGAATTAGGATTGGGGGTATGATGAAAAGAAACAATCTTTGAGTCTCTAAGCCAGCGTCAGCAAACCACAGCCCGTGGGCCAAACCCAGCCTGCCGCCCGTTTTTGTACAACCTGGGAGTTAAGAATGGCTTCATGCTTTTAAAATAGTTGAAAAAATCAAAAGAAAAATAATATTGTGTGACATATAAATGGCACAAATTGAGTGACATTACTAACTGATCTGGCATCAGTTCAGTTCTCTGGGTCTGAGTTTCCCCATCTATAAATAAGGACAGTATGGCCTACCTCAGGGTTGAAAGAGTAAATGAGCATAACTTAAAGCACATACTATAGTAGAGACTGAAATTTCCTTCCATGTCTACCCCTTTTATTGTTTTTTTTTCCATAAACTAATTCTTTGTCACGTTTGACTTCCTAAATTTATTTTTAAAATTCTTGTAAAATGTTACCTGTGTTGTAAAGCACTTATCCATGGTCAAGAAAGATAAAATACCTGGCGTAGGGAAGTACGGACAGAAGCAGGAGTTTGTTTTGTAGCCTCTCGCAACCTAGGCTCAAAGAGCAGAAAATCCTTCAATCATAAGCCTGCCGTTATCACCCACCCTTTCATATGAGAGAACAGAAGGAAACAGAAAAGGGAACGTTAGGCTTGAGTTGTGCTGACCGCTGCAGTCAGGGTACAAAAGGAGGTGAAAGAGCAGGACTGGTTATCGATTTCCCTGAATCGGGTTGTCGTGTTCGGGCCCACTTGCTGTTTTAAATTGTCATTACTCAGAACATCAGACATGAATAACTGAAACACCTGTTTAAATGCAGTTCTGAGAACCCTCACTGTGTTATTCTTTGTACTCTGAGTAAGTCCTAAAATAATGGTTCAGTCATATCCAGACCCCAAAACAGAATATAAAACATCTTGAAACTAAAGATTTAGTTGAGAGTAACTTTAACTGCTACCTGATTATACTAAGTTGATAGCAAGTATATATCAAGTTGAGCATTTTTCTACTTCTGTAACTATTTGCTTACTGGTAAATTTCTCCTAGTCTACCATATTCTTATTTCCAGTTTGTGACAGCTCTGTCGGTATCCCTTCAGCTTTGTTATTCTTACATTTCAACAGAGTACATGAGAGCAGTAATATATCCTGTATCCTTGTAGCATGTTGATTTAACTGTATTTGGTACCTGGTGTTAAGATCCAAATTTGGACAGAATGGAGCAGCAACCCAGGAACCTGTCATTTCTTTGAATAATTTTATTTTCTGCAAAAGATCTTAATGCTCTAACATAATTTATTTTATGTGCCATCACTGACTCCACTATTACAATTTGGTAATCTTAAGACAGCTTTTAGAGTACTTATTAGTTTATCCCTATAAAAATAAATTTACAAGTTTGTCCTATGATCTAAAAGTGTAGCAAGTTTTTTATGGTAATGCTAATAACAAACTGGTTTCATAACATATGACATGTTACAGTTTACAAAACTGCTTTCACATTTTATCATTTGAGGAGTTTGAGTATTACACTAAGAAAATACTGTTTAATATATCCTTATTTCTTCTTCATTGAGGAAATAAAGCACAAAGATTTAGGGACTCACCCAAGGACATTACCTTAAGACATAATGAAATCCAGTAATAGAATACTTGTTTGTATATAATCCTGTCTTTTGGTTTTTCATGTATTTTTTTGCAAAATATCATTAGTTTTTACTTTATGTTCTTGCCTTTAGTGGGATGAAGCACTCCTGACCATGAGTAAAGGAGAAAAGGCTCGACTGGAGATTGAACCAGAATGGGCTTATGGAAAGAAAGGACAGCCTGATGCCAAGTATCCTTTTTTCCTTTGTAATTAAAGGAAAAAAACACTAAAAAAGATCACCTGAAGGTAGGACAGATGCTGTCTAGGTTAACCTCCAGATCAGGAATCCTGTCCAGACCCGTCTTCCTGATGTTCAGATGCTTTTGTGTTAACACCCTCAATATAGACAACAGTTAATATTTTCTGTTGGTACAAAGTATCCAAACTTCAGCTGGAATCTACCATTTTTCCTCTAATTCAAGCCCTTAATTTTCAAGACCTAAACTGTGAAGTTTCAGTTTTCATCTTTGAAAGGCCACTCTTAATGTTTGGAGGATTTACTTCAAGGAGTTAAGATTCCAAATACAAACGGCTGTAGCAAAATGATGCGAGTATGCCTCATGGTAATTTTATGGTACAGTATAAAATTATGTTTAAAAATATAAAAACTATGCTACCATATGATTTTAAGCAGTTAAATGTGTATTCAAAGCTTAGAAGTGGAATACATGTTGAAGATTACTAGTTGTGAAATGGACACCACAGGTCCACAGTAGTATAAGCATTTGTGATCACTACTAACGACGATACTTTTCTGATAATGCCCAGTTTGTGAACATTAAAAAAGAGAGCCATGACTCCAGACCATTCTGCCCAGAACAGTCCAGTAGGTAAGTGGGAATGTAGTTTTTTCTATTGTGGTTCCAATCCCATTGGACTAGTTCAACCAGTTAGAGTAAGTTTACGGGGTGGGGGAAAATGGAAGTCCTGGAGTCTTATCAGGTGAAATTATTTGGGAATATTCAGATGGCCAGCTACAGCTCCCTCCCTCTCATGTGACATATCTCAAGACCAGTCAGATATAATCACACTCCTCTGTGAACTCAGCATCTTAAAATTCCCAACAAATATCAAATACCTCATGCGAACTTTGATTTAATATAACTTATATACTCGACTACTAGATTGAAATCGCTTTTTTTTTTTTTTTTTTTTTTTTGGAGTGCTGAGTAGCAGTCTTCATTAAGTGGTGGCTAATTTGGGAGTACTGCTGAGGCATTCTAGTCCAAGCTCAACTTACCTGGTCAGCCTATACTGATAGGTTATGATCTCCATTTGCAAAGGTACCCTTTGGAACCTCTAGGCTAGGATGTGTGAGTCTTGGGATCAACTGTGAAGCCCCTTCCCTTGGGGGTTAATTACCAATAACCAGTATACATAATTCTAATTTTAGACTAAGGTTATTGACAGAGAAGCAGTTTTTACCAAATTTACCTTGACTTCTTCAACAGAATTCCACCAAATGCAAAACTCATTTTTGAAGTGGAATTAGTGGATATTGATTGAAATAGCAATGCTTCAGATCTAAAGACATCAGCAACAATAAAACATGGCCTTGAAGAAACTTATGTAACTAATTAGAGCTGGTTACTATCATAAGGGAAGAGTCAACTGGAAAATTCAAAGTTAGGACTTGTTTACTTGATCCCCAACTGTTAAGAAACGTAATCCCTTATATATCCCTGAAGTTTAAAATATTTTACTACAGATGGGTAAAACATTGGTTAAGGAGAAGTGATTTTCCTCTTAACCTCATGTTGTGTACTATAAGGCTCAATAAAATTAATCCAGTGTCTTGATTTGTTTGGTGTTGATATATCAGTGTTCTGACTAGGTTAACCAGGACTAAGATTTCCTCACACCAGGGAGTAGCAGTAAAATTGTGTGGACAGCTTTGCCAGGGATGCTCATTTTAAAGGTCTCCAAATGAGTAAGTAAGTGTTCTTGTATAGTGAGAAGGCAAAGCCATAGAGAATTGAGAGAAAGCTAAAAGGGCTAAGGAATTTTGGCAAGAAGATAATAGGTGAATTCAAGAAAAGGACACTTCAAAATCAATGAACCACTAATAATGGTGAATATAAAGTTAATGTTATTAGGCGAGTCCCCCCCAAATAAATTCATAACGATTAGTGGATGAGTCTTCAGTTTTATTACAAAAGTGATGATCAGTTTGATCAAAATGAAAGCTTGCTCACAAGTTTTACATGAATATTCTAAATACAAAGTCTCCTGAAACAACATACTTCTGATATGATTTTCATTTTTCTTAAAGGGATGCAAACATTCCATATTCTCATTTATAATCTCTACTCCAAGACATAGTGTTTGTTTTAATAGTATATCTTTTCTGGAGTTAGATCCACATTCACAAGGATAACCGAAACAGACAAAACCTTGTCGGCAAAGGTTAAAAATCCATTTTTTGTTTTACACAAGAGGTAAATCCTTAATAACCAGCCCTTATGTGTTTTCAGCATCTTGTACTACAATGACATGATTTGCAGTCAGTTTTTTTTTTCCTACCCTTAAGGCTACAAAACTCTGTTGCAAATGCATTGCAAAAGAATTCTAGACCGCTTAATGCAAAAATCAAAAAAATAGTCTCCAATAAAAAGTAAATTTTTATAAATGGTAGGAAACAGTATCTGTGGTAAGCTACTAAGTGACATTTTCCCCTATTACTAAACAAATCATGTTACACAGAAACAGGGAAGACAAGTTATCAAATATGACAAGCTTATGCTATGTTTACATCCCTCATTAAAAAAAAATAATTTCATACTTTTCACACACTCCATCTGATATTTACATTTTCCCATCAGGTTGGAGGAGGAGGATAATACTGTCCATAATTCCAAGGATTCTGATAATTGTACTGAAAGGAAGGAAGCAAACATGTTAGCATACTAGAACTATGGCTGAGTTCCATATATAAACATATCCTTAAAGCTGGTATCTTTAATAGGCATGTGTTCAATGCTGAAATTCCACGACCTAACCACAAATACTGTATTAATCTAGAACAGAAGGAAAGCATTTTTTTAAGACCATCCTGACACATGCTTCTAATAACATCTATGAACAAAAAATTCAATTATGATAATGTGAACTCACTTGATACCAAGCACTATAATTATATGCAGCTTGATTTGCCTGTAAATCACCATCAATCATCTGTGTAGATGATGAAGTTGTATCTTCTGTGTGTGCTTTCTTTTCCTCTGGTTCTTCTGATCTAAATAAAAGATCAAAATGGAAACTTTGAAAACTACCGATAAGTACTTTAACAAATGGATCAATGTCACCTGTGTACATTTGTGTTACTGAAGTTCTCAACCACTCAGCTTTATGTGATTTTTTGAAATCATGACAATAAATTACATAACATAAAAGTAACATTTTAAAATATTTGTCTTTAAAGGCATTTCCACAATGAAATACCTTTTAAGCATCCCTTCCTGATTCAGCATAAGTTACATACCCATTTTCTGCTTTCCTTTTTAAAGAATCCTGTTCTTTTAGGAGTGTTTGATGTTCATCATAGGCATTCAGAAGCCTGGAGGAGAAGAAAAAAATCCTCTGTAATATACAAAACCACACTTAAATTTTTTAAATTGCTAAGTTATTTCCACTTAGGGAAACAAGTGTGTTGCAATGAACATCCTTTTTTAATGAGCCAGCAGAAAATCTGCCCCCAACCACCTTTCTGATCTATTTCCTTTGGGAAACCACAGCCCTGCACTTTCCTTCTCAGTCTGTGTGGTTCAAATGGGGCCTCAGGGATACAGTACTGGCCAATTACAGTAGTATATATACTGTACTGTAATGAGTTAAGAGGTGAGCATATGACCCAAACCAGGACGTTCAGTGAGTCCAAGGATTTTTGGCTGAGATACTGGAAAAGTGCCTGTTCTCTCTACTACAGTTAGCAAAAGCTGATGGGATGCTGGCCAAGAGCTACCTAGGTTTATCATCTCTAACACACAGAGAGAGCCCATGAGGCTATCTAAGACACAACTTAGACAACGACGCTGATGATGTGCTTTTGTCCAATGCAACCATGAGTCCTGACAGTTCTATACAGTAATCTGTATATTTTTGAGATCTACTTTAACAGTGCTTATTGGAGACACCTGCCACTAGTAAGGGATAAAGTGTATTTAAACTTTGACCATACCATGTGATAAACCAAATGAGAATATAAAACTACAGTGTAACTGGTATACTTCAATCATTGATTAAAAAGATAATTTTTAATAAGTAAAAAATTTTGGTGTGTTATATATTATGTCTCCCCTGGAAATAAGAACTTCAAAAACAATGTCACTTGAAGCCAAACTGACTTTAAAATCATGGTTTTGTTTTCCTTTTGCCATTTTCTGAAATAGTTTTTATAAAGACAAAAATAGCATTATTTTTTAAAATAATTACAAGCCTGAACATATTTCTGCAGAAATGACCTTGATACTTCACATGCACGTAAACTTCCCTAGGCAGACTACACATAGACACATGCAGTAATTACCAGTAATACTGGTCGCAAAATGTTCAAGGGGCTAGAAAACTGTTAATACCAGTAATCTCTGGTTGAGTGTTTACTCAACATCAAGCAGTTTAAGTGCACTAATTTCCTTAAGGCCTTGAACAACCAACAGGTTTGTGGGTTAGGTGATAAAAGACTATCTTCATGTGAGAAAACATGAAAACAGAAATATGCAAATACTAAGTGACAGAGCTGGGATTTAAGCCTAGGTTTGTTTGACTTCAACATCAATTCTTACCAACTAATTACCTGCTACCTAAATTTCTATGTGGCTCATTTATTTTTTTCATATCATTCTCTTTGAATTTCAACTACAACAATCTTAGACCTGACAATCAGACCCTCCATAACTATATTTGCAGTGGCCTAAATAGCATCTTTGTGTTGAGCCTCCAATTTGCCTGTTATTGCCAAATTAAAATATGTCATTTAATCTCCATCAAAATTCCAATAGCTTCCTGCTGTCAACTGCGTACTACATGTGCTCTCAACTCGGTCCAGCTTTCAGGGCACAGCACAACCAACACCACACTCAACCACATCAGAAAACCCTCCCATCCAGCAGACATTACTTCCATATGAACTTTAACTTGCTTACACCATTTTATCCTCTCCTCAGCTTATCAGAATCCAGTGGTAACTAAACAAAGCCCCGCCTCTATGAAGTATGACAGATCCAGTCTGACCCCCAAAGATCAGAGTCTTCATAACAGTTATATGCCACCTCATGCACTTAGATATTTCCTCTGATCACCACAGCATCCAACTAGACTAAAAGCTAGAGTTATATATCCCATTTCTCTTGTATACTTTATTCATTGCAAAACAAACAGAAGACACTAACTATACAGCACATGAGGTGGTTAAGAGCGTAGACTCAAATAGGTTCTAATCCCAGTTGCTAAGTGACCCTGGAAAAACTGCCTAATCTCTCTTTAAGCCGTTCTTCATCTATTAAAAGAACAGGACTTATACTCCTCATTAGACTGTTAGGTATTTTACATTAGACAATTCATATAAAACAGTAAGATGCCAAGCATGTATATACAACTGTATTAAAATGTAACTCATGTTAAATGTTTTTTTAGTTTAAATAAAATTTTACTCAACCATCAAAAATGCACACAAATATAAACACAAGTAATTCTCATTATGAACAGCTGTTTCAATAGAAATCACTCAGTTAAAATAGAGAAGGCACATGCTTAACAAGCACTAGGATATTTCCTTACTAGAATCAGGTTAAGACTGGAATGGCAGCAATGCTCTATTCAATATTTCTACCCTTCTGTGTTGCAAATTTAAATCTTAAACGTTTCCTTTCCCCAAATCCCCAAGAGTGAACCCACTTACCACCCTCAGTTTCAGCCTTTTACAGTGCACAAGGATGAGGCCATTAAGTCTGACCTGCGGAACCACATCCATCCTCTTCTGCAGTCAGATAAAACAGCATTCCTATTCCAGATTAACCCCACCCATTTTTCCAGGCCTATGTACTAAATGTTTCTGTTCAGGGTTCAACCCTTGACCCATTTCCTTTTTCATGGGATTGCTATTTCCTGCCTTCTCTCATCTATTCATGGTTTCTAATCATGCTAAAATTTTGAAAACACTTCTGAAGGAAAGACAAACCATATGACCTCCTGTTAAAGCACATAGACCTTTACAGAAGTGAATCTACCCAGACATGTATCTAAGGAAAAATAACCTGGGCAAATATTTTTTAACTTAACAATGTATTCATTTGTAATGATCATCAAATTCCCATCCAAAATTATCAATGCTCATTTACTATTCAAATAGATAATATATAATTAAGATCTTACTTATTAACATCTGAACCAAAATCTTCAAGAAATTCCACTTTTCTCTGAGAAAATGTGATTCTCATTTTAATAGGTAATGAACCATGCACAGCTTTGTCAAAACAATTCAGGATATTTTCTTCATTTTGTTTGAGGTCACCACTATATTCCATTTCAAGTAAATTGAGGTATAACTTTGTGTTCTCCTGTGTAAAAAGCAGTATCAGTTAATATTTCTAAGATATTTTGGTTAGACGACAGATAATTAAAATGCCTTACATTTTGTGTCTCAATTTGAAAAATTCAAAATTAGAAACTGGTGTATTAAAATGTAACTCATGTTAAACGTTTCAGCATACATCTAAACAGGTGAAAAAATGAATTGGCGCATTCACAGGTAGTGACAACATCCTAGTATCTCCCAAACAATGCAAATCGTTAAATGCCAATAAATTAAAACTGTATCCTATCTTAGGTATAATGTGGCTTCACCTACCCTGACAAATATAAAGTAAAACAAAAAAATATGATCTCTACAGCTCCCACTAATTTTTATCTTTACAACCGTAGATAATCATCGAAACTGCAGCTGGAAGCAAAGAGCTATAAATAAATCGGTGTCTTAAACAGACCTGGCATTAGCTTAAAATCTAAAAAAGGAGAAATTTCCCATACATTGCCTTTTATTGTTGGACACATAAAGGGAAATACTCAGGAAAAGGAGGATCATTTCACTGCTCCATCGGCTACAACATAGGCAGCTGCATGCTTTCGTTTGTAAGGTGTTTTCCCAGGCCCTCCACCTATCACTAAGTTTGTTGTTAAATTTCTAAATATGAGGAAAATAGAAAATGTCACAATGCATGCAACATTTTTTAATTTAATCATCTTCATTTTCTCAACATTTTAATTCATAATTGAAAATTTTAAAAAAGAATGGCAACATCAGTTTAGAGGGACTGTTGTCTTCATTTAGTAACAAGACATTACATACAGACTGAATCTTTCATCATAGTTGCCAAAATGAAAAAAAATAACCATTTTTGTTCATGGAACATAGTCTAAAAAACACAAATACATACTTTGTCTCGTTCAATTGCTTCCAAAAGCACCTTTCTTGATTTTGGAAGGTTTTTTTGTATTTTGAAAAGATGTCGGGCTAGTTTGATAGCATAAAACGATGACTCGTTATTTGATTTGGCATTCTTAATGGCGTCCTGAAGCAAATGTTCAGCTTCTTCCATATTTCCATGCCGTCGTTCTAAACTTACTCTTCTCAAACGAACCATTGCCAATCCTAGAACACATTCTTCAAACGTTCGCAAGATATTCCTGGCTTCGTTAATATTACCTGGAAACAGAAATTAAATGTTTATGCTTTTGTTTAAATTTCTGAAATATCCTTTAGCCAGGTATTTGCAGATACCCCACGGACTAAATCCAGCCCTCTGCCTGTTTTTATTTAAAAAACAAGAAGAGAAAACAGCCATGCTCATTTGTTTATGTGTTGGCTATGGCTGCTTTTGGGCTACAATGGCAGAGCTGTTAGGAAAGAGACCATTTATGTGGCCTGCAAAGTCTAAAATACTTACTATCTGGTCCTTTACAGAAAAAGTTTACCAACCTCTACTTATATCATCTCTCAAGACTCAATTCCTATAACTTTATCCTGAAGTAACTTAAAATCCCAAAAATATCAACTGCATTTCCTCCTCCTTACCCTGCTGTTCCTCAAAAGCTGCCCACAGCATGTGCACCATGGGTTTCTTTGGGAGATGAATAGTGCAAGCTCTGCTGAAGACATGCCTCACTCCTTCAGTGCTATGGTTTTCCATGTACTTGGCATACTACATACAGAAACAGAGGAAATACTGAATAATTTACAGTTGACCCAGCATCAAATATGTGACAGAACGATAAAATTCTATTTTTAAACCCATTCAGCACCTTTATTGAACCACTAGACTAGTTTCTGTAAGGAAGGACGAAGAGAGGCAACGAGGTTGGCATATGCAGCAGTCAAATCTGGTTGCAAGCAGACCATCTCCTAATGCAACAGATATAGTTATATGAACAACATTCAACAGAAGTACAAAAAAGGTTAGTCACTAGATCAATGTTTATAATATATTCAAGTTTCAGAGCCTCTAATTTTCTTACCTTAATCCAAAACTCCTCATAGAGGGCACATGATATGACGCATCTTTCAAAGAGAACCACAACTCGTTCATGAGTCCCATTTTCAATTTCAAATTCTAAGTATTCCTTCCAGTTTTTCAGTTGTGCCTTTTCCAATGGTTTCACATGAAAATAAGGTCTTTTAATCTGTAATAAAAGTGTGACATAGCAATGAAAGTAAACCAATACCAACACCAAAATACACGACTACAGTAACAATACAAATTATTAATATAATTAAAGATAATAAACCAAAATTTTAATCACTGTATTTCATGATAAAAACCTTTTCAAATTAAAATAGCTTAAATTCCTTAGACTTTACAAATTGAAGAAATAAAATTTATTTTCCACTCAGTCATTTTAACAGAACTACACAATTTTTTTATGTTCAGGAAATTTTATCTTTGTTGAGTATTTTAAAATTGAACAATGAGGACCTGCCCAGCGGCACAGTGGTTAAGTTCACGTGCTCAGCTTGGGTGGCCTGGGTTCAGAGGTTCAGATCTCGGGCATGGACCTATGCACCACTTGTCAGCCATGCTGTGGTGGAAGACTGGCACAGATGTTAGCTCAGGGCTAATCTTCCTCAAGCAAAAAAGATAGGAAGATTGGAAACAGCTCAGGGCAAGTTGTCTTCAGCAAAAAAAAGAGGTTCAGATTAAACATTTTGCAATTCACTTAAGTCTAAAATTCAGTAAGATTCTAAAATTGATAATGGAAAATTAATCATGGTAGCAATATGTGGGACGTACATCCTAAGTTATTACTTAAATAAGCAAAAATAAAGAAAAAGTAACAGTACAGACATTACTCAAAACTGAAAGAAAAATACATTATTCCTATCTTTATTTTGAAGCCTAATACAAAACAAAAACACTTACACCTTCTTCAAATGTCCACCTTTTACTAACTTCATGCTCATTATAATTAAACATTTCTTGATGGATTTCAATGATTCTATGTCTCATGTTTTCTATTTCAGTAATTAGCTTAGAAAGAAAAACAAAAAAAATTACACAAGTTATATACTACAATTCTAAATATCACTGCTTACAATTTATTATCCCCACATATTTTAGTCTTAGAATAGCGGTGGATTTTAAATTGTTAGCAATTATGTGCAGAGTACAATTAACAATACTAAAATTTATAACAGAATTTCCTAATAAACCACTTTCTCATGTTTTAATAGGGCTAGTAGATGACAACCTAGGCAAACTATTCCTTGTAAGCTATTTCCAGGTGGGTCATAGTAATACAGATTCTCTACCTTAAATCTATATTTAAACCATCCGGGCTAAAGAATTCCCACTTCCCTTCATTAGAAGTTAAGTTTACGCAAGCTGCACGTTGAGCCACGCTGCAGAAAGGGGTGGCAGCCTAGTCTCTCATGCACTGAAGGCTTTCAGTGAGTCCGGTCACCTTTGCGGGATCAGTTATGTCTTCGAGTCCCGACGGCAGGTCATCCCCAGGGGGACCATCATCTGCACTATGTCCGTTTACAGAAGCTAACTCCCTTCGCAGCTGAATAAACTGTTCACCAGTCAGAAGATCTCTAGGCAAGTTATTCTGTACATGTTCTTTAAATCTAAAGGAAGACAATAGAAATACATGCTCTATATATGTACCATAATTTTAAATCCCAGGTTAGATTCCTACTACACCGTACTCTCAAAAAACCTCTGATTTACGGAGAAACCAAAACATCACACCCTTTCTCCTTCCTTTCTGTAGTAAAAACCTGCCACTTGATAAAGAGTCTACAGATACCTTCATTGCCTTCCTGCCTCTGCAATGGAATGGCAAAGGCAAGGACAGACATAAATTCAAATCCTAGTTTTGTCCATTATTATTTATTTCATTTAAGGAAACTTTTTCCCTTCTCTAAATTTTGGTTTTCTCATCTGTAAAATGAGACAACCAACTTGCAAAGTTACTGTAAAATTAAATACAGTAATCTGTATTTAAATTATAAATGATTGACAGATGTCTGCAGTTCCTTCCCCACCTCCCAGTTACTCTTGAATCCATGTGTCTGTGCCAAACACTCCAATGAAACTGCCCTAATCAAATCACCAAGTTCTTCTTCTGTGCAAAATTAAATGGACACTTGTTTCATACTACAGCCCCTATCCTAATGATGTCTTCAGTACTTAAAGCTGTTGACTACGCCTTCCTTTTAGAACCTTCTTCCTTTCTTGGCTCTGAGTTACCTCCTTCTTGATTTTCCTCCAAGTCTCTGATTCCTTGATCTCCTCTGAGGTTTCCTCTTTCTACATGCCCCTAAATCCTAAATGCTAGTATTCCCAAGGATTCCACTCTGCATTTTGCTCTCATCAATTTTTATATACTTTCTGGCCAACCTTATTAATACAATTGCTTGAAATAATCATATTATGATGACTCTCAAAACTATAACTCAAGCCCAAACCTTTCTCCTAAATTCCAGATAGTATATCCAGTTGCCAACAGTCAGCACAAATATAGATTCATTTTAAGCAAAGAGCATTTTGAAAAAATGTCATTTCATTTTATACATATACACTAATTTATATATATATATACAAATTTTAATCAAAATTTAATCAAAAAGTTGAGCTAAAATATCTACACTATCTCAATTTGGAACCTTTTATACAACATATCTTCAATTATATGTCATCTTCATCCACAAATCAACACCCTCAGCATTTCTAATCTTGACTAATGGCACTGTCAACCACTAAGTTTCCCCATCTCTTCGACCCAGCTTATCACTCACATTCCACTGGATACTGGGTCCTATTGCTTCTTCCTTCTACATACATCTTCATGCCCTCCTCATGCTTCACCTGGATAAACATAAACTTCTCTCCCATACTCTAGTCTCCTAACTCCCATCCCCAACCCAATACTGCCATCAAACAGCAAACTCAATGGGGTCAGCCCCATGGCCAAGTGGTTTAAGTTCACGTGCTCTGCAGCCCAGGGTTTTGCCGGTTTGAATACTGGGCGCAGACATGGCACCACTCATCAAGCCATGCTCAGGTGGCGTCCCACATGCCACAACTCCACAACTAAAAATACACAACTATGTACTAGGGGGCTTTGGGAGAAAAAGGAAAAATACAATCTTTAAAAAAGAAAAAAGCCTACATGAAAAACAAAATAGTAAACATGATCATATCCCCCTCTTGCCAAAATCACTTCATACGTTTACCATGCATTCAGGCTAAAATCCAATCCCTTAGATAAAGTCTTTCATTTTCTGACCCAGCCTTTGACCCAGACCTACCTCTTCAATCTAATTATTAGACATAGTTGTACATGTACCATATGCCCCAACCTTATGGACTTTTCCCCAAGTTTCTTATAATTTATTTAAGCTATTGCCACCTGGATTTTATGGATTTTAAGACTCTCACAAATGTGTGTAAATAACACTGGAAACAAATTTAAATTTTGCAAAATTAATGGATACAGAGGCTACCTTGACCCATTTCATCACTGGGAGGGAAAAAATAGACATTGACTTATCAAAAAAAAATTAAAATGAGGAAGTAATTCTCAAATCTGCAGTATAAAAATGAACAGATTCAATAGTCAGATGAATATTAAAGCTCAAAATTGTCAAGATACACACAAGAAACTTGAAACATGGTAAAACTGAAAAATGACAGCATAAATTTAAAATAATTGCTACATTATATAAAAACGTCTTTCAAATGGTGATTAACCATGCATAATACTAAGTAATTTTTCATCAGCTTTTTCTACTATAAAGCTAATTTTTTCAATAAAGAATGGCTGAGGGTTAAGTTCAGCGTGCTCTGCTGTGGCCGCCAGGTTCAGTTCCTGGCC